TAAAGGTAACAGGAAAATTTCAGGGTTAAAGCTGTATCTCGCTCTCATAAACTGATCAAGAAAATAAGTAACATTGGCAACTACTTCCCACGCTCATCCTGCCTGAGCAGCCTGCCTGGTTCACTGATCAAGCCGAAGATTGCTTCCCCAATACCCATCACTACAAACTCAGTCCAGTTTTTGCCAACTGTGAGCCTTCTCTGTTTCAAATATTGCCATCTTGTGGAAGCTGCCTGAAAGGACTGACGAGACACCAGCAGCTAGGAGCACTGCTCATTCCCGGACCCTGCACATCCCAGCCACACAGTGCTGAGGCTGAGTTGGTTATGCTGCACAGACACTACTGCATTCCTCCTTAAAGACGTTTGTAGCTCTCAGCAACAGAGCTGAGCCCCTCTGAATGCAACCTGAGAAGGCTGGAACAGATCCCTGACATTGTGGATACCAAGTTGTATATGCCTCACCCCCACCTATGAGACGCTCAAACCCTGAATCCTGATCTCAGGTGGTTAAACGAAACCTGAACCAGAGTATCTCACACTACACCATTCCTGCTAACAAGGCCACTGATACTGCCTTATAATGCAATCAAGCTGCAGGAACTCAAGGTTCAACTAAATAAGCCCTGGGTTAATCCTTTGGAGGAACAGAAAATCAGATCCCCAGCTGGTACAAACTGGCAGAAACCCAGACTTGAGCTATGTGGATTTGCACCAGCTGAAGATTTTGCCAATACCTGCCCTTCTGCACAGCCTGGAAGTAATTTTAAATTATTTAAAAAAAAGATAATTCTGAATTCAATGACAGGAGAAATATCTCACCTGTGGAATCAATGAATGGCTAAACAAGCATATGACAAAACAATGGCATGGCATGGAAACAACTCTAAGTAATGGAAGAGTAATCAGCAAAGATGATTACCTGTGGCTTATTGACTCTGCGTGTAAGTCTGGGAGGTGGTTGTGTTGTGACAGTAGAGGAAGAGAGGGCAGAGGAAGAGAGAGGAGCAGATGAAGAGAATGCTTTTGAGTCCGCAGTCTTTTGAAGAAAAGAAAAGTTGGTCAGATTGGCACACATTCTCTTATCACAGTCACTGCTAGTGATAAGAGCATCTACTCTCCAGTAAATTTGATACACACACAGCAAACGTAACTCCATGCAAGGGCAAGTGCAGTTTCCAGTCGGTTTGTCTGAGCTGACCACCTCATTCTGTTTTAAACATGCAGGTTATGCCTGTAAAAAATGCTACTAAAAATACATCCAGATGGTAAACAGCACAGTCTTCATACAGCTTTGAATATACATCTAGTTATGATTCAAGCAGAAATCAAACAATTTGTCATAAGATTTCCCAGTGTGAAATGTGTCATCTTAGAAACCCTAGTTCCTCATTATTTAACCTTGGCTAAGACGCGGTATATCATGGAGGCTATCGCAGTGCATCCAAGACAGTATTTATAAGGCTATGATTTTGAGCTCCCCAAACTTCCACTCTTATACAAGGTAGCATGGGGGTGCTGTAACGTATTTGGGCTGGCTGTAGCCCGCAACGGACCCCAGGTCAACAGAGAGCTGCAAAGTAAGGCAGATCTCCTATACCAAGACTGGGGGCAGAAGTTGTAGAAGTTACTGCAGGGTTCCACATGTTCCCTCTCATTGTAACATACAGCTACATATAACTAAAAACTCTTGGGGAGAAACATCACTAGGTCTAATTCTCATTTGTGGCTAGACCCTTTCACATCATTTTGGAAATGCAAAGGTAATAAATTCCACTCCATCCACAGATAACAGTCAAGTCTCCCTGACTTAGTCATGCACATCCCAGGCTAAGGTTCACTAAACCATAGGCTCCAGGATCAACAGGGGACAGCTTGTGTGATTCTGGGACCCAAGCTGGTGTTTACAAGGCTTTTCAGTCCTTGGCTTTAGGAGGAACAAATAAATCTTATAACCAAAGATGATCCATTGCACACTGGAAAATCTCTGAATAGCAAGGAATTGCCTGTATTCTACACAGTGAGGTATATTGGCATGAGGCCTGTGTGATACTTTCATCTGATACATCTGGTAATAGCCACTATCTGGGACAATCACCTCATTAGACGTTACCAGTTGAGCGAGTCCTGTGTTATTATCTATTCTAAAATAATTTTCACTACACTGCTCCTGAGCCCTTTTCTACAACTTTTTGATCTGCTATCCAGTGAATGCCACTGGCGACCCCTGGAAGAAGGTCTTAGGATCATCAAAATGACACGTGGCAGCCACGGGCTCTGCCTGGCCAGCAGAGCAGCACAAACCTCAACACACCAGCTAAAATCAGCAATTCAGAGCAGCACACACACATGCAGGAGAAGTACCTTCTTTTCCCCGCTTTGAAACTTTCCCAGATCACCTTTCCTCATGCCTCTTTTCTCTGTTTTACCTCCCTGCACAATAGCCATTAGCTCCTGACACAACTGGTTGTCCTCAGAGGAACTCACAGGTCTCTTTTCTGGGCTCACACGCATGTCTAGTTGGGATGGTTTCAGGCAGCGCTCAACAGAGATCTTGGAAACAGCATAAGCACCCTGCTCGGGGTTGCTGCTGCCCTCTCTAGTCTTTTGGAGCCAGGCTTGGCTGCCAGTGATGTGATGCTGCTCTGCGAGGACGCTTTCGGGGTTCTCCACTGCCCAGCGAGGGGAGTTAGAGTAGCTCATGCTGGAAGAAAGGGAGCCAACAAACTTTTCTTCACTTTGCGGAGTGGCCTGATAGAAACTGCGAGCGGAGGACTGAGGTCTGGATGAGTAAGAGGGCAAGGGGGATTTAATGGACCTGGGAGTCGAGGAGCCAGAGAGATGAGAATGGTGGAGGCTGACCGTGGGGGAAGGGCTGGCTGCAGCAGAAGGCGAGAGATAGTCAGCGTGAGAGAGAGAGGCTTCAGGCAGAGAAGGCAATGGAGGAGTTATGGCAGGAGTGGTGCTAGGAGACACTCCCACGGTCAGAGCAATCCACTCAGATGTGACCGCCTGCACCTCTGGAGATAAGGCGCAGTGCACAAAAGGCAAAGGCGGAGGAGTTGGTGTATGGAGCAGCTCAGAGCTGGGAGACTTGAAGGAGACAAAAGCAGGAGAGAAAAAGAAAGAAATGAACAAAAAATAATAAAGGAAAATACAAAACAACCGAGCAAAAGTAAAAGGAGAGAGAGCGAGCGTGTAGAGGAGCAGATCTGTGACCAAGCATGGTGCATAAGTTTTCCCCGGACAGCTGCACCATGTTGGAGAACGTGCTGTCCACAGCTACTTCAATCACGGAGTCCAGTCCATATCTGTGCTGCTAATACCCTTCTCCAGCCTCTGCCAGGATGCCAGACACAAAATGTCTTGTGGAAGATCTTAGACTTCATACCATATGCCCCAAGTCCCTCTGGGAGCAGTTGCAGCCACCATGCATGATGGCAGCATGCAGCATTTGATTGGCCTGGCAGTAATACCTGGGGCTCCAGCAACTCACACTGTGGACCCAGTCAGAATTCACTGCTGCAATGAATTTTGGCTTTATCCAACTCTAGCCTGCTCCTCAAGAAACTTGTATTGCTGAAGCTGTGGAGGAGAAAGGGATCAAAAATGCTGGCTGTGGCTATTTAGTCTTTAGGTGATTAAAGTAGGTCCTATGTTTATAAAGGCAGAACACAACTGAGTTCTGCCCTTAGCCATTATCACCAGTGACATCAATGAGATCAGCTACATTAGCACTGATCACAGTGTTTCTCAGTCCTCTGCCAAGTTAGGCAAAAAGGGAGATAACTGATTTACTAGGGAAGGAATCAAAAGAATAGCAAAGGAAACCAAAAAGGGGTGGATATGATCCCTTCCATCAAAGGGAGAAGCTTGCAGAGAGCTGGTGGCAGACAGTCCACAGTTATGGAGAGACTGCCAAGCTCAAACAGAAATGCTTAGCTGAGGTCCACTTTGACAGGGAACCCCAAACAAGCAACAAGTCTTTCCTCTTTACACAGTGGCTAAGAATAAAAACACTCCTTTTAGGGAAGATCCAAGACAGACACCAGGCATGAGCCATGGCAGCTTTTCCCATCCGTCCTGTATTATATATCCCTTCCTCCCAGTCCCAATTCTCCACTTTTGTTCCTTGCAGTCTTGACCTCAGAATGACCTTGCTTTGGTCCTGTGGGCGAGAGGGGGATGCACCAGAACCTCATGGCCGAGACCCAGACACGTATGCTGACCTTTGAAAGCATGAGTATTTGCAGGATGAGAACAAAACAAAGGGATTTAGAGACTCACTGCCTCCCTGATATGTTTTCCATGGCAAACATTCTGGGATTCCCATACAGTTACCTGCTGCCATTTTGATTTCTGGTTTGAACTGCAGTATGGTTTATATTGAATCTAATATTAATGGAAGATTCCAGACTGGCCTGCTCTCAAAACCTGAGTTCATTTAAGCACCAATTTCAAATAATACAGGCTGCTCTCCTGACCCTGTCTCCCAAAACCTTGGTTGTGTGCTGGAACATTTAGAAGTATACAGCTTGATTCAAGCTGACTGGGATCAACATAATGACTCCTACAGACTGTAACAGCCTGTGACGCCCTTTTAATAGTCATAATAAAAAATTCACTCATCACAGCGGAGGTCTGTAAAGTGTAAACACACACTCAGGAGGAGCTGGATCACCAATTCATTCCATCTCTGGCAGTGAAATTTATTCAGATGGCTGTCAACTGTAGCCCTTTCAACCTCCCTGAATTCAAGCTACAGATCAGAGATGAAAAGCTGAGTCTCCAAATCCCCAAATGACCCATTCATTAACCTTTCTGGCAAATGAAACATCACCTTTTCCTGCAGTTGCAGCATACTGCAGGGAGCACATGGCTTTTACTGCACAAAACATTAGTCTTAGCTACAGCTTTTTTCAGCTGTTGCTTCTTGCACAGAAATGGCAACATCCCTCTGTTCTGCAAGGTGCTATAACTGGCTGCACCTAGTCCAAATACCTGTGGTGAAACTGTCATGCTGCGGTTAGGGGAGAGGGACATTGGTGGGTCAGGATAGTCAACGGCATTCTTGACCACTGGCTGTTTGAGCACCTCCACGTAAGTGACAGGGAAGATGCCTTGGCGATTGGTGCCAGAGATTTTTCCTTCATACCAATTCTCATCCACTCGTCGAATCAACGTGATCCTTTCACCCTATGGGAAGGAACAGTAATGTAGTCCAGACTTCAACGTATCTCATCATTCCAAAGCAGATTACATTTTTAATCTTGCTGCAGCTGACTTAAAACAATCAGTGGCTCTCAGCCTCCCCTATTTCCCAGTTATGTGGTCCTAACCCTAACCTCTGTGTGGGAACAGTATTTTTCAGTTCAGAGAAAGAGGAAATGCAGACCATAGAATCATAGAATCATTTAGGTTGGAAAAGACCTTCAAGATCATCGAGTCCAACCATCAACCATGCCCACTACACCATGTCCTTGAAGTACCCTGTCTACTGGCTTTTTGAATACCTCCAGGGATGGTGACTAAACCACTTCCCTAGGCAGCCTATTGCAATGTCTGACAAGCCTCTCAGTAAAAAATTTTTTCATAATATCTAACCTAAATCTCCCTTGCCTCAACTTGAGGCCATTTCCTCTCATCCTATCTCCAGCCACCTGACAGAAGAGACCAGCACCCACCTCACTACAAACCCCCCTCAGGTAGATAGATATTCTGGTGCTGACTTGGGCTATCTGCAGACTCAGTTATGCTCACATTTTCAAGACCCTACTTGCTAAAGCTAGTTAAAAAAGTGGAAACCAGCAGTTTCAGGATGACCATGAGACTCTCAGGGATATGAGGTGTATAGGGAGTACACACAGGTCTGCAGTTTAAACTAGGTCTCTCTGTGCTGTCTCCTGTTTTGCTGACAAATGAAGTGACTTCCAAATCCTTAATACAAACTGCAAGACCCACCTTAATGTTTAATTAAAAGAGATGAAAGAGACAAGATCTAATCTGAGCATCAAAACAGAAAGCTGGCTGAGATGGAGAAACACTGCTACTTAATCTAAATATGGGTGTCTTTGCTCTGAACAGCCATTACACAACCCGTTCCTATGCCTTCACTCTGCAGTCAGGTCTAGCCAGTCACTTCAATAACCACTGAGCCTTGCTTGCCTGTGCTCAATGATACGACTTGTACTACAAAGGAACGTGAACCCTGTTTCCTTCTTTTCTATATTGCCATTCTCATGTGAGTGTGTGCATCTCCACTGCAGAGGATCAGACTAGAGACATGTCACCAAATATCTAAATTTGCCTTGCAGAGCCAGGCTTCCAGCACTTGCCCTCTAAGTACCTTCTCAGCTAGCCCTAAGGAAGCAATTGGCATTTCTTGATTCAGCCTACCTGCAACACTCTCACTGCAGTGCACTACATAATGACTATGGAGTAAAAACATGGGTGATGAGAAGGAATCCTTCCTGAATACAGAGTTCATCTTATTGGAGCTTTCATTTGGAAACTGCAAGTTACTAGTGTTAAAAAACTTCAGCATTTGTCTGGATTCAATTCATCATCACAACAAAAGTCCTACCTTTCTGAAGGACATTTCCACTTGGGTATCCCCATTGAAGTTAAACTTAGCAATAGCATCTCCATATTCCAATACTTGCAATGGTGATGGCTTTTTGGGCTGAGCTTTCTCAGCTGGTGGGAGGAGCTAGAATGCACAAACAGAATCAAATGAGTCACATACAAAAAGCCCATAAACTGGTCACTGGCAGAAAGGGAGTGGGCAAAGAGAAGACCTGCAAGGAAAGCAGCTACCTCTATGTATGATCGTGGGAAGATGCCAACTCTGCCATGGTGTTCACCTTCATACCAGTTCTGGTCAATCTGCTTGTAAATGTAAACAATATCTCCTTTCTGCAGAGGAAGTTCCCTGTTAACAACACAAGCACTCCATCAGAACTTCACTGGAGAACAGACATGTTCTCTCTCAGTCCAGCAATCCCTAGGTACCAAGGTCTGCATCAGCCCTATTGATACAAATCATGCTCCACCCAAAGTGAAAGCTACATGTTGAGAACAGGATGTGCAGGGACTCTCTTGCTCTTTGGGCATCCTGTCAAAAAAGCTGGCCTATGAGGTCCCTACTAACCACACACCCTCCAGCAGCAATGGGATCAAGCTCAAGCAAAAGATACCACTGGCTGCCTTCTATGTTGGATATGGGGAGCAGTGCTCAATTCCTGTTTTGAAACAGGTCATGTCACACGTGCCTTCCAAAGAGACACATGATTTTAATGGAAGCTAGTTTGCTGATTAGATGAACCCACCCCCACATGCCAATGTTGATCCTGCAATGATTACACTTCTGGTCCACTGACTTCACCTGGGCTAATGATTGGGATTTCAACCTATAGTCTTCAGTGCTAAAATTATGAATGTCTGCAGCTTGAGGAACTCCCACTGTGGGCAGCTTGTATTAGGCTCATAAACCTACTACTCCTACTACCCACAGGAGAACAAACAACCCAGCCTTTCCTAACATGATTTTCACAAGCTCTCCTTTACTTTTGTCTGGCACCCTGCTATGTTCTGCTGCTCAAGGGACACCACAGTTAAACCTTACATCTGCCTCAGTTTTATTACAGGTGCTGGGAGATGCTCTGTAAATCATTACAAATCATCACCTATAGAACATATAACAAAATATTCCCAGGACATTAGCATTTCAGAAGAAAAACAGCAGGTCCTTCACTGAATTCTCTTCTTCTTTCTTCCCTCCCTAGCAATGTTAAAATGAGAGCTTCTCCAGGCTCACGCAGAGGGAAAGGCTTTCCAGGCCTTCTCTTCACAGCAGTGTTCCCCAAAAAGAACGAATAGTGCTGTGTGATTCACCCAAGGGACCACAACAGGGCTTGGAGCTACAACAATGCCACCAGAAACATCCACTGTTGTATCTACAGATGCCAGGGGAACAGTGACCACTCTGTACCCTTATAGGTCCTGAATCAGGAAAATCCTCAGTCAAGAGCCCATCTACATGCTTAAAGCTAGGCATCTAAGTCCCTTGCTGACTTTGGGCTATGCTTAGCACAGTGAAAAGGATGCTGCTGTTCTGCATATCTATGTTCTTCTGACCATCTGTATGGCAGATTTACACAGTGAGCTACTGACTAACACAGTTCTTCCAGCTCCTAAATCAGAGCACAACCAGCAATGTCATGCAGGGGAATCACTTCTGTCTTCTGCACAAGAGCAGTGATAGAGCTGCTGCTGAAAGGTCTCACCCAGCCATCCTGCTTACAAGGTGCAAGGAGGAACATCACCCAAAGACCCATGGCTCCACCCACCCTCAGAGCACAGCACACACTTGTTCCAGTAAAGTAAGCAGGTTTGCCCTAAAAATCACATGGGATACAGATGCCCAGAGAAAGAAGACATTTTCCTACAGGTCCTTTAGAGGCTACAACCTGCAGGATTCATACTACTTTTCCCTGCCTTACTATGGACACCTTTACTTTGAACTGCTGGAAAGACACTCCCAAAACATGAATCCAATTGCATGACACTTCATAAATGCTGCATCCTAGGGTGAAAAGCAGAGGAAGAACACTCAAGGCAGTAGTAACAAGCAGTACTCACTTTAGCGTCTGTGCTTTAAAGTCAAACTTGGCTCTAGCAGGTCTCATCTAGAGGGCAAAAAAATGAACACATTAAAATAATAATTAGGTTTTTCAACCCTCTTCTACAGCCAGCATTAGTCTGGGGAAGAAATTGAATGCAGATATTTGGCTACATCTTGTGTGCAACTGGTACTACAGTCCAAATATGCTGGATGGGTCTCTCCCATCAGGGCAAAAAGTGCTAACTTCTGGTATAACAGCAACTAAGAGCTCTACAGGAAATGGATTTAACAGCAGTAAACTTATAAATGTGACAAACCCTGCTGAATGAAAGCTGCTCCAGTAACTACTGTTACTGGGGCTCCAGGACTAAATTGCCCTTGATGTGAATGGAAAAGCAAAATTTACCAGCTGAGAAAAAAACAGTAGGATTTTATCTGATGTGGCTCTTATTGATTATTTCTGGCCCTGCTGAATCCTGCAGTGTGACCCATGTACTCTGTATAAATTGGCAGGAAAGAGACAAAGGTGAGGAGGAAACACGAATAAATTAAGCATGTATCTTAAAAAAAAAAAAAAAAGTCTTCAGTGGCTATAAAGCCAAAGAGGACATTGACAGCACGCCTAGGCTTTAAAGCTTGATTTACTTAGTTGATTTTCTAATGGCCACAAAATATTCAGACAATTTTTTAAAGTCATTTTGGTAATAGAGCATAAAATAAGAAGTAGTCTCATTCATGTGACACCAGAGCATTTGAAACCACATAAAGGGCAGACAAGTGTACTCCATCCACACAGTGACCACCCCACCCACCACCACAGTGCAGCACCTCTGGGGAACCAGAGCTGCTGTCAAGAGTCCCAGCAGTAATCCCTAAGGCAGAAAAAGGCATTTGGTCAGGACACCTGGACTAGCATCCAGCCCTCGGGAAAAGTGCCTTGGGCTCATGGGAAAACCATCTACCTCCTCCTTTGTCTCTTTCAGAAAGACCAACCAGGTCATACGCAGTGAAACATGCCGAGACTTTTTCCAGTTGTTTCTAAAGGACATTAAGCATCTTTCAAGAGAAGAAACAATCTACTTCTAAAAGAAACAATGAGACAGTCACATGGCCAGGATCAACAAGACAAAGTTTCTAAGCATAAGGCACAGACAAGAAGACAATGTAGCAATATGATGCAAAAGATGTAGAATGCCTTTGATTCACTAAAAGTAGCTGATATTTAAAGGCATGCATCACAGGTGTGCACCAGCAATTCTCAGCAGGCATGCTTTAACGTATGCAGCTTGGTAGAGATATCAATTAATTTACCAGGCACAAGAGTCAAAGCAGATCTAAATGAAGCCAGAATGGGAAAGGTGAAGGTGGAAAAAAAACAAACGACATTCTCTGAAGAACTAACGTCAGCCTAAAGCACAACACTATGAGAGGCAAATATTGCTTTGGGTCAAGCAGCAGACTGAGGTAACTAAAACAGACCTCTGACCCAGATTTCCTCTTTGCTGTATCGTCTACATTTAGGAGGTCCCCAAATCGCTCATTAGTGATAAACTGATGGTGCGTTGGAATAACCCCTGTGTGCCTTCTAGCTGCAATATCAGCTTCTTCTTGCTCACGTTTAAGTCGTCTCTGGTCCTCTAAAAGTTTCTGCCATAAAATCGCATAAAATGGGCAGTAAATCATCTAGTTAAAGGCATTCAAAAGCTGCCATAAATGTGACTTAAATAAAATTTCTGAGGTCCCAGTAAATAGCTGGGATTTTACGGTTCAACATAAAATACTGATTCTACTAACTACGCAATATCCTTCTGTTCTGCAAGCACAGAAGGTACATCACCATTATGGCATAACTGAACCCAGCTCATACAGAGGATCTGATCCACAGCTGATGGAAGTCAACGAGGAGTTTTTCTAAGTTTTGGCCAGGTCCTGGGAGCTTCTAAGAAGATTGCTGATAATGCAGGGGGCTGATCCAAACCCCCTTCAACCAATAAGGAGTTTCTCTCATTGACTTCCAAGAGACCCGAATCAGCCCCACAGTTAAGTTCCGAGGCACCAGACTCCCCTGAGCTTTGCAAGGAGCTTGGGAGAATGCCTAACCACCCTCAGGTATCAGGTTCTCCCATACTTCCTTTGTGCTCATGTAATACACTTTGTAAAATAAAGTAAATAAACCCCAAAGAATTATTTTGGGCTTCTGAAGTCTCTGGCACACTAATGGAAACGTGCATTCTTGACTACCTGGGCAGAAGGATTCTTCCACCTTTTGGGGCTGACTGTAGGCTGAAGAGTTCAGCTTTGTGCTAATTCATTTGAAGCCAGCAGGTCTTAGTGAATTCAGAGTTTTGCTCTTACACGTTTTAGTGCTGGATTTTGGAAGTGGAAGGATTACTAACTGTTTCACGGGAGAAGACAGCAAAAATATATTTTTCACATAGGAATTAAGAGCAGGTTTTACCATAGTTCAAAGCACACATAAACATTATTTGAACTCAGAAAGTTAACACTAAAAATAAAAACTTTTTTTTTTTCCCCAGGCAGTGAAAATTAATTCCAGCTTCCTGGAAAGCAATCACTTTATAACTTCTTTAACTCAGCTTGAATACATTGGTGCTGAAAAGTCTATGTGGCTTTCCTATTATTTCGGTTTGTCTCAGTGTTGCCCAGCCATTCCAAAAAGGACTGCTATATTCTGTCATCAACAACTTGAGAGACCATAAAGAATTATAATTTGCACTGGGGGGAAACCTCATGCTTTCTGATAGCTTAAAATATTGTACATTTGCTCTTCAAAACCTGAAGACCCCCACAAGAAAAATACTGTTCTCACCAGTTTGATTAATACTGACTCAAGTGGCTTGCTTGGAGAACAATAAAAACTTAACCCACAGAATAACCATTTCATTTTTATCTGTGATTACTGGGGCGTTGTACCACATCTCACATACATCTCCAACCTTTTTACATTCTTCAAAGCCCCCATATATCATTTTGTGCAATTGATAAGAACCATCAGGTTCATTTTAAACAAAAGCTAAACTGGACTACACATCGTACATTAAATCAGTGGCAGAGGTAGTATTAAAACATACTAGTTCCAGCTTGTTGCTCTAACTTCCAATGTATGTAGCCATGGACATACAAGCTGTCCTTATATAAGGCTGAATGCTGTACTTCTTGTATGTGGAGCTGCTACAACTGTTATTAGGCCATAAAGGAGGGCATTACCTCTTTATCATCATGCCGTCTGCGGATAATTTCTTCTGGAGTTTCCATGTAATCAACTGGTGCAAAATGCCTTGGTGATTCTGAATCTACTTCAAAACAACATAAGGAAGTTAAAATACAGATGGATTTATCTAGCATAACCAGAAAGGAAAAAAATAGATATTTTTAAACAATTTGTTTCCATTATGACAGTAAGGATTTTCAGTTGCCATTGACCAAATTGCCAATCAGATGTCAATAAGTCATCCATTTTAATTTTTTTCCCTTTTGGGCTGTACTTGAGAACAAAAATCCAAAACCAGGGAGAAAATAACAGCACAGGAAAGTGTAAAGACATAGAAGGACTTTGTGAAGAAAAGATTTGCTGCCATCACAGTACGATTTGGCATTTTACTGTTGAGAAAAATTTAATACACACATACGCACGCACACACACACACAACTAGACCTTGAGAAACTGCTCCTTAAAGCAAATCATCTGGGTTTGTTTTATGTTCCCATGTGTGCGAATGATATAGGACTAGAAATATCTCATGTTGAGATTCTTGCATCCCCGGAGCTGCTTGAGAGACAAACTGAACCCGATGTGATTAGAAAGGCAGCGGAAATCGTTTCTCAGAAGTGCAGCTGTTAACAAGTCCTGAACAAAAATGCTCAGGAAGACACGTAAAGGACATTAGACACACTAGGGGAAAAAACAGAGAGTGTCATGGGATGCAAAGGCAGGGAGTAAAAATGCAAGGGTTGTAGAAGAAAAGGGGAGGAGAAAGGAAGCAAGAAGACAGATGAAGGGGTACTGGTAAAGAACACAAAAAGCCACCTCCTAGGTACGTCCCAAGTTCACTTTGCGGGTTGTTGTTTGTGTCCAGGCTGTGACAGAGGGCATATGGAACAGGGTTCCCATTGTTTAAGGAGTCAGGAGTGTCAGCCCGGCCCATGAAGCTATCTTGGCCAGATCCCATGGTGGGGAAGTAGCTAAGCCTCTCCACAATGTCAAAGGAAGACAGGCGCCTGGGGGCTAGAGGCCTGCTTCTGGAGCACAGTTGGTGCTGGGAGTGATGACTCTTGCCTCCTACGCTCCCCAGCAGCTGTATGGGGTCGTCTGGGTTCTCAGGGCTGGGCACTGCCGGGCTTCCCGGGCAGTCTGGGGGTGGAGTCCTGCAGGATTTGTTTTGGAAGGGCTTTTTCAATCGGAAGGGGAGCGGGCTCATTAGGTAGACATTTCTGGGGAGTATGTGTCTGTCCCCATAGATATCCCCTTTGGAATCAGGGTTCCTGGAGGCCTGCTGCTGCTCATGCCTTCGGATGGTAGTAAACCTGGTGTAGGAAGCTGGGCATGCGCCTTTGCATCTGTTGATTTTATGCTTCTGAGGCCCATTAAGGTTGCTGCTGCTGCTGCTGCCGCTGTCATTGGATGCATTTGAGAGGAGATCTATCTCATCTGTGCAAGCTGAAAGTGTGTCCATAGGGATGGCATCACTGACATCTGAAGCTGTGTCCTGCACGTTGCTGCAGGAGTGGGAGGATTTATCTGCCAAGCTGGCAGCATTCTTCTCTTCTTGGTGTGCTTTTGGCAAATCCAGAAGAAACTCTGCAGAGTAGGCAGAACTCAGACAAGCTTTAGACTGGAGAGAAGCGGTGAATTTGTTTTGTCCAGTGGAAAAGTCAAGCGAGGGCATTGATCGGGATCTCTGGATCAGCTGCTCAAAGGCACTGATACGGGAGGAAACGGTGTGTTTGGGGATCTGCTCTGAATCCTCTCGACTAAGGCTGTGCTCCATTCTGTCCTTTGCTTCATTCTCAAACTGAGATGCAATATCCCTCACACTGCATGAGGAGGCTGTGCCCAAATGGATCCTGGACCGGTTGATCTGGTGCATGTCTTTATACAGCATTGTAAACTCCATCCCACTCTTCCTGGAGGCAGGGAACAGGTAGCCTTTCCTAGAGTTGGTACCATACTCCTGCAGGCTCATGGTGCTGCCGGATTTGATGGCATACTCCTGCTTTGACTTCATCAACATGTTTTCTATGCTTTCCCCTATGTCTACCATGAAAGCTTTTTTATTATCGAACAAGGCAATGGAGCTACGAAGGTTTTCGCAGCTTTGAGCTTTCTCATGAGACAGCAAGATACCCTTCTTGTCCTGCACAAGAGCAGCTGGAGCTGCTAGTTTGGGTTTGAATTTGGAAGGAAGGATTTCAGTAATGCAGGCTTTTGCAGCTGATAAGGGCTTCTTATGTTTACATGCGTGACCTAACATACCGGCATGACTAGCGTTAAAGGTTCGGCTATTAACTGAAGAGGGTGCAGTCATATGAGCATTCCCACCTTTACGATCCACTGGTAAGCATGCAGAATAAAATAAACACAACCTGTTAGCTTAAATGCTAGAAAGCTATTGAGAAAGGAGAAAGAACATGCTTGGATTTCATAAAATGCACTTTAAAGAAACAAAGTTCCAAAACATAAAGACAAGCAGGAGGAAACTGGACAACAAGCTGTGCTTACGGGAGTAGGTGAAGTGTTGCTAACATCTCTAGAATGAGAGGCTTGGCCAGAAGCAGATCTGGAGCACTTTGAAGGTACCCTCCTAAAAAGTGCTAAGCATCATCAGCTTCCAGGGAAGCTCCCGCACCATGGAAAAGGGCAGCTGAACTCTGGGCAGGATCAGGGTGTCAGCAAGAATGCAGAGGCACTAACATTGCAAAAATGGCTTAATACCAAGCCTCTAATCACACCTACTATAGTCTCACCACAGTGCTTGCCAAACAGTTTATTCCTGGGAGGGAGAAGACAATCGACCACGTCAGCTGGCCTTGCCCAAGAGCTGCCTGCTTAGAGATTCCCCATACTAGGAATAAGCTGAGTGTCCTCCAGACAATGTGGTTGGCCATGTTTGCTTTAAAAATCAAGGAGTCAGATCAGGACATTATCTTTTTTTAAAGTTAGATCCAGTCAGGGTTCAGCTGAGACTGCAGTTTTTAGGTCTGTTTCTGATTTGAGTTCAAACTCAAATGTCAAAATAACCATTCAAGTTCAATTGCAGGTTGGGGACCAATAACTGTTTGAACAGATTTTTTTTGTTCAGATCCACTTCGACTCCCTGCCCTGCAGGCCTGACATTATGTTGAAAAACAGCTGGAAGATGGACACAGAGAGAGACCTTTTTGGTGTGATGTACTATTTTTAGGGAGAGCAGTTCAGAAACCGAACGCATTCCTCCCTCAGTCCTCTCCCCATCTCAAGCCATTTTTAGCTTGACCTTGGCTCAGAGATACATTCCCCAATACAACTCCCTGATGGGAGTTAGGCTTTTCCTTGTCCTAATCTTCTAGAGAGTCCATGATAGGGAGAGGAAAAGGGAGGAGATGCAGCAGCCTCTGCTGCCTCACTGTCTCAGAGTCTGCAGGGCATTGCTGGTTCACAGTGTCCCATGCATTCTCTGCACACCCCTTGCAGGCAGGAGGTTGTGGAGCACATGGTGCCAGCTACACGAGGGTAGCCAGGCCAGCAGACATGGTGCGACCTGCTGAGATACCGCAGCAGGAATAGCAGAAAAGGCAGGGAAGGGCTCTAGCATGGCAAGGCGGTGGGAGCAGATGGATAGCAAGGCCAGCCCGAGCAGCCTCAAGGAAGAACATGAGGGTGTGGCTAAGGTGCTGGATGGAGGGAGCGGGTCCCTGTTGGTAAGAGGAACCTGGATCAGATAAAGGGGTCATGAAAAATATTGGCCAGTGTGGTCTGAGAGAAAAAAGGAGGGAAAACTGGAGATGGCAAAGAGGAAGGACAGAGGAAACCTCAACTGACTTGAATAGGACTCTAAACCCTGCAGCAGTTTGCCCCTTATCACCTGGCTTTCGACACTCTCTGCAGAGTGGAGAAGAGGTTAGTACCCTGACCACCTACCTTTTGTGGAAGCAGAGCTAGAAGGTCGCTTGAGACCGCTTAGCCCCTGGAACGGGATATCTCCACCTTCCAGCACACTCTTGTAAATCTGTCTTTCATTCTCCAAGCCAGCAGGGTCCCCCAGTGCTGGTTCTGACTCCCTCTTTACTGCATGGTAGTTGGGTGAGTATGTGGAGCTGGAAAACACAAAAAAGGGGGAGGGACACCAGCGGGTCACTTCTGTTTGCTGAGAGCTTCATGCAAAGTAAGAGAAAACCACACTTGTGAACCCAGAATAGACTGTGTATCAAGAACTGGTGCTGAATGAAGAGGTTATGAACACACTGTGATAATGTTCTAGGTTTGGCACTACCATAGCATTCTCCACCTGATGGAACTCTCCCAGCTCAGTCCCCCAGAAAACAGGCAGCAGGAAAGCACTCCTCCTTTATTTTACAGATGAGACAACAGAGTCATAGAGCAGATGCATTTCTTTGCAGACACAATGCAATTCATTGGCTAGCTGGAAGTAGCACAAACATCTTCCAGCTCCCAGCCATCTCTCCTTAAACACTAGCCATGTCTGTCCCCTGCTTAAAAAGCACAGCTGATCAGGAGTTCATCTCAACCAGTTCAGCCTCCAAGTTAACACCATAGTTCAAGACTCCCAGAGCGATTTCTCAAGCCCATCAAGTGAGGCACCATGCAGAGAAGCAACAATACGGGGCTATAGACACCACTGTTTTAAATGCCCAGAAATTCCCACATGTGCACAGTTCTGCTCAGCTTTGCCTCAGGCTTCCACTACAGGGAATGAAAAATCCCAGACTCTAGGTCTACCATGCAGATATATAAACAAAATGCTGTTAAAATGAGTACAATTTTAATTTCTTAGGCTTTTAAAGACTGGACATTTATTACAAATCCCTTTCCTCAGTCATGAATCTAAGCACAAGTATGCCCCCACATCTGATTTCTAGATTTCACTCTTTTCTCTCTAAAAAAATAACCGACAATGCCATGGTATAAATGGCCTTTCCACATACAAAAGACTTACTGAGCAATCAGGCAGACAATGTTTTCCTAAAAGCTAAGCTGATGTGATACCAGTTCTTGTGCTCAACCAGGCTCTTCAGAATAAGATGGAGTCTCACACAAAGCTATTCTGGGGCCAAAACATGACTACTGGAAAGTTTGAAAAAATAAAAAAGTGGGGCATTTGCCAATTCATGGAAACATTTTGAAAGCTGGTTTACATTGTGATGTCCAGGAGTGATTCAAAGTTATGTGAGTGTGGAAATGCTCATGGTTACGCCTGCTTGTTGTGGATAAATTTGTACATGCATCTGTTTATTTTGGATAGATGCTGTACTTATGGGGTAAAGAGAAAGCTTTCAAACACATCAGAGGACTGGCTATGGAAGTGGATTACACAATGTCTGGATCACAAAGAAGATTTTAGTTTCCCGACAAGGAAAACCATGTCATATGCAGTCCCATAAATTACTTTCTGGAGTAAAAACTTGTGAAAAGAACCATGAAAAAGAAAGGTCACTTTTTCAATTTCGGCAATGCTCAAACAGACCCATAGCTACAAAGCTGTTATGTCTTATGGGGGTTATCCCAGTGCCTCTCTTTGTCAGGTTGCCGAGGAAGCCCTGCCAGTTGCTGCAGGGAATAATGACTGCCTTGAGGTTCCTCACCTGGGAGGTAAAACCATTTTAGCCTAGTTGTTAAAAACTAAAGGGTTAAAATGATCCTACTTTGGGAATACACCTGGAGGAGAGAGAGAAGGCATTTGGCAGAGTCCCTTTACCAGTTGCTCCCTTATCAGGGCCAGCAAGCAGTACTGTATTAGGGCCAAAGCAGTCTGCAAGATCAGAATCAGGTGAATGGAGGGAAGAGTAACAGTGAAAAAAAGACAATAAGCTCCAGGTATCTTTTCTCTCTGCTCTCTAAAGGCAGGGCAGGAAAGAATGGGTGACTCCACTGGGTCTCACTGTTGTGTCCCATTCCCAGCCTACCCAGGTTGCTTCCCCTCCACTGGCTCAGATGCTGGCACTCCTGCATGCTTTGGGTGGCATCAGAAAGGGCACAAACATGGGTAGAAACCTTACCAGCCTTTGGCAAATATAAGCTATTTATGCTAATCTCTGAGATTTCCTTTTTTTTTTTTTGTTGCTCTCTCCCTACCAAAACAAAACTAAACAGTCACAGTGAAGTGCAGCAGTGTGCGAGTTTCCCAGCAGAATGGACACAGACAGAAGGGAACTGAGTTGAAAGAAGTATAGAAGACCTCTAAGGCAGCCCCAGAGGGGCAGTGAACATGTGTGATATTAATGGACGTCTGGAGAAGAACATGCTTTTCCTAACAAACCATCAATGCAGAGGGGATCACTGTACCTACAGACAACATTAAACACTCATTCCAATTACAAGGAGCAGCAGGTTCGCAGTAGGAGCTGGCTCCACGGCTTGAGTAACTCGGCACAGCTCAGCATCTTGCTCTGAATATTTTTTTCTTTTTGTGTTCCTCTTTTAAAACAAACCAGCTCCATGTACAACTCATTTAGACAGAGTATACTCTTTATTACATATTCCTCTAGGAAAGCAGTGCCACATTAGATCTTTGAGAAATGTCATTACTGCTACCACTGTTCCCTTCCTGGAAGCTGGAAAATTATTACCTTCCATCAACAGCATCCTTTTAATCTGGTGCACATAACTGGGAATATTTAACAGGAGCCAATCTATCATACATGTGTAACAGAAAGAAACTTTGTTTATTCCACACAATAAAGCTACCTGCATGAAGTTACAGTCAATTTGCAAACTTCATCAAGATGGAGTTCAAGGTCTGTCTGTTTTGGTTTTTTTTTAGTCACTGCCTAGTACAATCAGCAATTCTTATCTGGACAATGCAATCGCTCATCTAATTGCTGCAAAATTCATTGAAGACCAAAGAGCAGATATTGTACCTGGACTCATCAAAGCACGTGTATAATTCTCACGTTACACACATTTGTCTATATCCATCACCAAAAAATAATGCCAACCCATTTCCAATGCCCAAAACCCTGTCCTACATGCCCCTCAGATTGTAAGACAGACACGAAAAAGCAATTGGAAAACTTACTAGGTAGAATGGTCTGTGGAAGTTTCCAGAGGAGTAACACCTGCTGTATTCTGCAAAAGTCCAAACAAAGGAGTCATTGATACACACTTACATGTGAGGAGAAAGAAAAAGGCTTGCTTAAGTAATTTTCCATCTATTGCTTGAATATTAGCCTTTAGGAGACATTGAGGTTTAAGTCTAAATACAGTTTAAGCTGTCAATGTCTTTGCAGAAAAGCAACAATTTTCCTGAGTTCCTTCAGGGCAGCGACAGGTTTTTAGCACAGCCGATGCCTTTTTGCAGCGCCTATTATTTTGTCTGCAAATGAGTCATTGTGAATAAAGCCAAAAGCAAGAAGAGATAACCAGCTGGGCCATGACCAGGAGACACATGCTCATAATTATTTCCCCAAGCTTTTTCCCCAACCGGTCACTGCCTGCCTTTGCTTTAAAGATATATTACAGTTCTGCAGCACAATACATTCCTCAGCATTCAAAAAAAATATCAAAGCACTAACAAGAAAAGCAATGTTTCAGTTCAGTTTCCTTACTTAAGAGAAGCAATGCCAGCTGCACAGGTTCAATAGCAAAAGCCAGTTCTTATCTGCTTGCTTTAAATCCATCTAACACTTCCTAGGCACATTATTTAAAAAATTGAAGGCAATTTTAGAAGAAATGCTCTATTCAGTGTCCCCTCATCTATCTGAGGATTCCTACATAGGAAGAAAAAGCAAATCTTGGGTTTGAAAAAGCAGCTTTTTCAAGTCCTGGTGAAATGCTGCAACTTCAAAAAAAAAAAAAAAAAAAGAACAACAGAAAAAAATAGAAGAAATGGCATGTTACCAAATTAATCTATCATTTCATGGTTCGGGTCCTGCAGACCCTCGAAACAGCAGCAGCAGCTGACCTGCCCTAGAAGGCCATAGCAAGGTACAGCATAAGGAAAATTGTGTAAAATCTCTTGGGAATATCCAAATCTTGGGTACGCGTGAGCTCTAGCAGAGATCAGGGCTTGTATGAAGGGAGGGTAGATGGCAACACGCTTGAAAGGCACGAGATGATGACGTGACGCCAACCAAGAATTTTAAGCTGATTGCTGCTGCCTATTCATGTGAAAAATAGAGAGGGTTTTTCTGCAGACACTGAACTCAAAACCCTAAAGGGGGATGGGGTGGGGGGCAGCTGAAAGGGAATGGGGGTGAGAGGAAATCACTGGATCTGAAATGGATTTCAAGCCGGATTCTCAGCATCATGTTCTATTATTTCTGACAGCGACACAGCAAGCCATGCAGTCAGAACGGTCAGAACCATTATTTATCCCAACCTCATTTAATAATCATCCAGCAGTGAATAGATTAGAGCAGAGAGTTTGGAAACAGGGATTGACAGCATGAAAAGAATAGGAAATACCTTCTGTGTCTTTTTATGTGGCGCTTTATAAAGCTTCTCCATTTTTTCTAAATCTGCCTCTAACTCAGTCTGGTAGAGGTAGAGGTCTTTTTCTAGATCAGTCTGGTTAAAGAAGGAGAAGAAGAATGGGAAAATAATGCTTAGGGTTAGGGGAAACCAAAAGAATGTTAATTTTGAAAAAAAAAAAAGTGAGCCTTTTTAATTGAAAAAAGACAAAGATGGTATGGACAATACACAGAAATTCACTAGCAATTAATCATGTTTCAATCATTATAGAGGAAATAGTTTTAGGCATTTAACATTCAAAACTAAGAGATGCACAGGCCTACTAGAATCTAATTCTACAAACCATAAAGTTATAAAACCCACCTGTAAAAAAAAAAAAGATACTGTAACAATATGCAATATGCTGTTAGTGTAATTATCGTTGCAAGTCAAGATAGCAAAACCACCACTCTAATTATGTCTCATTATGCTTTAAGAATTGTTTATTAAATCAATTTACTAGCTACTTAATTGTTAGACTAATTAGCTTAAGCCCAATTTAAAAAAAATCACTCTCAAGCACACAAACCCCAAGCAATACTACAAAAAAAAAAAAAAAGAAAAAGAAAATCACATACACACATACATACGCGCTAGATGCTGTAGTACAATGTACGTGAGACACAATTACCTTTCTATCCTCTCTAGTAAGGATAGAGCAATCTCCAGGAGTATAATCCCAAATCTTTTTTGGAGGCTGATGGAAAGCAGAGGAAGGAAATGAGGAAATGAAGATAAGGAAAGACATCACAGACAATATGGAAACTGGATTAGAACAGAGGGGGAATACAATAGGGGATTTGCATCAACACTGAAAAGAAATTTAAAAAAAAACACAACAGAGAAAGAGAGAGAGATAGAGGAATAAATCTGCTATAGCACAAATATCAAGAGATCATGGGAGGCAAAAGGGAGCATACATGCAGTCTGGGAGGGGCTGTTATCAGTAGTGTTTGAGGAAATTTTTATTTTTGCAAGGTGCTCTAAGGGATTTTGGGCTTTCTAGAAGGAACCCACAGCTGGTGGTTAAAGCATTCTTAACAAAAACAAAACAGAACAAAATGGGGAAAAAACCACACAGTTATAAAAAGCATTTGTTTTGCTCGTTCTTCTTTTCAAAAGGAAAGGGTAAAACAAGGGCCTTTGATAAATAAAAAGGAGAATTTTTCCCACCCCCACCAAACTATGAATACATACCATGTGAACAAATGGCTGAATTTCCAGTGATGGCATTGTGGGGCAATGAGAATGCAGAGTTGTTATTTTTTATTTCACTGGTTTGGGGGTTGGTTTGTGGTGGAGAGAGTGGGAGACACGGAAGTTTGGGATCTAGTTATTTAAAATTCATCCTATAGGTGAAGGCACAGATTTCAAAATAGGATTTTCCTGTTTGGATGCACGTGTAAATACCAGGGAGGATTATTAAAAGTGAAAGACCTTTGTCCTGACACTCCTATCCAAACAATGCCATGCTAATATCCTCATTTCACCAGGTACGCACTTCTCACTGATACGCTCAGAGAGACTTTGTTCTTACTTTGTGAAATCAGGATACATTTGCTCTGTTTCCAAACAAAAATAACCTCTGTTGGCTGGCAAGCTTAGCATCATCCTTTGTGTCCATACTGTCTTCTGTGACTAGATTATTAAAGTGCCTCCGAGTCACTGACAGGGAATCTCCCAGTGTCAGTCTATCAAAGGTGAGACTGAGCTACAACACTTGGGTCTTGATCCAAATTCCTTTCTAGACTGCCTGGATCTGTAGTTTGAACCTGCCCCACCTTACATTTGGACAGCCACTGTGTGGATGCAAACACTAAATACCTATTTCTTATCCATCAGATCAGCAGCTGCATGGGGGTAGATGGTGTTGCAAAGATTTAGGTTTGAGATTTGGAGGGAGAAACTGGAGGGAAGGAGGTGAGAAGGCAGAACATGCACCCCTTTTTCCAGTCCCCCGCTTCTCCATTTATAGCAAAGAGCTTACTCAGTGCTGCCTCAGGAAGGTCTGGGACAAAGTGCCCATGTGTGTGATCCCGCAATCACAGCAGAAGACAACCAAGCTCTAGACTGACCAAAAGTCAAGTTTTGTGGATGGGCTCCATGGAGCTGTGGAGCCATGGGTCAGGAGGAAAGAAGGAAGGAGCACAGGGGGATTCAGTCTCAGCAGCACACTGATTTCACATCCATGCTGCAGAGACTGATCTACCTGTCTGCAGGGCATGCACCTGTCCACAGAGCTGGCCAGAAATGCATCTGGGATGCTGGTCCAGCAAAGTGTCACTTCAGCTGCCCTAGGAAGCGCATGTGCTTTCCTCAATGGGGAAAGCCCCATCCTAGCCATTCTGGTGTCTCTGGAGAACAACACCCACAGGCTCACAAGAATCCTGTGCTCCCTTTTACCAAAGGTGTTTCCTGCCCACATCATATAGCTGCAAATAAAGTCAGAAAGCCAGGGGAAATCATGTCTGTAGAAGTACACATTATCTCCAGCACTGGAAAAAAAGCTGGGAGAAACAGAGGATCTTGGAAAATACCAGGTACTAGCAAACATCAGTTGAAACTCTGGTTAGACATGAGGCTTAGCCACTAGCTGGTCACAAAAATCTGGTCTTCTCATGACCGGAGTGAGCAAAGCTACAAAAAGCATACTCTTTTGGCTGTGGTAATGAAGCTCACAGGGAGCTTTGCTGAATTTCTGTCAGGTTCCAGAGTAGCTAGCTATAAAAGTCTGAGATGGCATCCTCATTCAAGTGCCTGATGCTGGAGCACTCTGTACAGAGTATGACATTCAGGGGTTGGCATAGCTGATCAGGGAGCATGGTTGCATGGCTTTGGAACTAAAGCAAGTTGACATGGGATATCATTTCAAGGCAAGCTGTAAGAAAGCAGCCCTGAACAACAGTGCCCAAAGCAAGGTGGGGAACTTGTTACCAGAACACTCTGCTGAACAAGAGATGGATTGCTGGTGTAGCCTAAGATGCCTTCTTCTGAAGTAAGGCCAACGCTGCATGACTAAAAGCACAAATGCACGCTTCTTAGGAACAGATATACCCTCACTTCTGGAACAGCCCAAGGGCATAAATGTTCTCCTTTCTCTGACACGTTTTCCATTAACTTATACTAACTCAAAGGGTCATAGAGATGACAAACCTTCATTCACTGCAAGAGCGTATGGCTATTAATTACACAGCAGCAAAGAGAAGCAGGTTTCTTCTCACTTTGTGGAAATCTTAAACCATGACAACTTGTGAAGGGTTAAATCCTTACACTGACATCATTTAAAAGCCTCAGTGAGGTGTGATTTACCTGACTTCTACTGCCTAAAAGTTAGGGGGTCTCATCTCAAACGCTGTTGAAGCTCCTTCTTTAGCTTAGGATGGAAGGTCTATAGCTATAAAACATAGTTTTCTGTGACAGAATGGACTACCCAGCCACTGTACATGTTTGTTTTTCAGCAAAAAATCACACTATTTCTATCATGTGATCAGACTGGGCACCCAACCTCAGGCAGCTACATTCTGTGCAGAAGAATTTTGTCACTTCTGTAAGAACAAAGACTAGATTTAAAGAAAGCCTGCTCTCTGGTGTCCATGTGCAGTTGCCTTTGAAGCCAGTACTAAGCCTTAAAACGTATTTCTGTTTTGTTGTACATGAAGGGAAATCTCAGCAGCACTCAAAAATGGTATGCATGGGCATTTGACAACTGAACTCAAGGAGAAAGGAGAAACAACCACTACACTTGAATAGATGTGAGAGGCTGATACTGACCCTCTGGTGCAGTAAGAGCAGCTTATTAAACAGTATTTAATAATGAAGTTAATAGTGTTTAATCAGTAAGAACCAGGCCATAAAATGCTTTAAAGTCGCATTTTTTCCAGTAGCCATGACCACTGATGTGCTCCCTCCATCAAAATGTCCTTTGTCCTATTGAATAATTAAGCTTTGCTTCCTCTTTTTCCAGAGTGGGAAACCAAGGCCTTTTTCCTGCCCTGCCTCCCCTGCCCCGCGCCCAGCAACACAACTCCATCTGAAAAGCAAGCACACTGTTCTCAGACTCCTTTGGTTTCAGGGAATGACAAGGGCTATTCAACACAGACGGATGCACCCCATTTAGGCAATGGGCAGCTACATGCATAAGGAAATGAGCAGGAAACAGGGTCATGATCTGTTTATGGATAGCTGGAAATTACTGACCTACAGTTTACAAGCCAAGGCCAGGAATAAATGAATGATTCTCCTTGACTTCAAGCTACCTATCAACCATCCTAGATCTTGTTAGGCAGAGGGAGAATGAGGGCTTTGAATAAGGACTTTCAATAATGAGAACAGGGCATTACTTCTAACATTAACAACAAAAATGCAGTTTGAACTACGGTGAAAAATATTGCCTTGTTGATACGTATGGCTGGAAGGCAGGGAACGTTTGTAAAAGGCTTCAAAATACTTAAAGTGGTCACAGAACAGCTGCTCTACGTCAGTACCAGATTACCATTATGAACAATCACATTTTTAAATGAGGAAGGCAGCTGTTCCAGGTTTAGGGCCTTGCAAAGATATGTGACAATCATAAAAAAAAAAAAAAAGGCAGGTTGACTTCATTGGTCATTGTAACTATCAAACTTACCGGTTTCCCAAACTCCAATTCCGAAAAGAATTTATACCAAGGTTCATTCTTTAAATCTATCTCTTCTGGGCTTATATCCCGAGTCTAAAGGAGTTGGTGATAGGGGAATGGAAGAAAGAGAAGGATAACATTATGCAAAGAATACACAGAAAGGGACTGTTAGAGATGCAGATCCCATGGTTTCCATGCTAAAATGTAGATATTTAACCTTGTAATTTGGAATTTCTATAGCACCTCTCTCACAAAGGCCATGAATTGCTTTGCAAACATCAGTTAAGCCTAATGGCATCATTGTGAGCAACATGAATATGAATGAATTGCATTTTACAGATCAGGAGACCCACACAGAGAGAGATTATGCTGCTTCCCCAGAGTCACAGGGAGACTCAACGGAAGAGCTGGGAGTCAACCAGTCCTTCGGTCCTACTATCAGACACTTCCATCGAGTCCAAAGCTGCATGTACTTTAAATTTTTTTTTTAATCTTCATTTGGTTAAAAAAGAGAGATTCAGTGAGACCTGAATCAAATACTGCATCTTTAACAGCACATGAATATGTGAGAAACCCTGTTCTATACACTGCAAACAGAGTGAAAGGTGGTTTTCTAAATCAAAGGAGACACAAGTCAGAGAGAGCGCATCCCTGAGAGGTCTCTGAAGGGATGGACAGAGACACAATATTACTTGTTTCTTCACAAATAAATGCTAGAGAATCAGACAAAACTACAATGAAGGAAAAATCGGACAGGACAGAAAACAGTACAGTTGAAAAGGAAATTCCCTTTTGTTCATACATTCTGTTTTAATGCAACAAAAAAAGTTGTAGTAGTTGTAGCTGTTTAAAAACACTACTGGTGAGATAAGAGAATAAAGTCCATTGCTGAGGGTTATGAGGTGCCACTCCCCAAAAGACTAGCTAACTCTTGCATTTCAGTGTACCTAGTCTTAGACATAATAGATCTCAGTGCATTAGAAATATAAATATATTATGTCTGATATGCCAGTGTGATCCCAAGTGCTCCATCACAACAAGTGATGAGCCACACACATGCACAGAGGGCCAACCCAAAGTGTCCTGATGCAAATTGTCCTGTGATGCAGTTACTGAGACAGGGGGAAGTTCCCAACAGTGCTGGGCTTTGCTAGATGTCCCAGACTCTGCCAGAGCCCTTAGGCATCACAAAAAAAGTTCTAGGACAAGAGCACAGGATTGATGCTGAAAAAGGGGCAATGCTTCAATCTGAAAGATAAGTGGTTACATCACGTTTGATCTCTCATGGCCTGGAGGAAGATTTGGCTATTTCTTAAAGGCACAAAAGAAGCAGTGCCTCCATTTTTTAGTTTACTCCAACTGTAAGTACTCATCTTGTTATATAACTGCCTTAACATCAAAAAAATGCCCATTGACATCAACAGGAGGCTCTTCATTGCTCTGAAATGGTTTTGGATTGGGATTCTGATAGTCACAGCTCTGGGTGTGATTACCAGGAGATATCCACAGATCTCCTGTAGCCTCCTTGAAAGATCTAGTTGCTAACCACTATATTATTGTTGTATTTAATGAGACTGATGGAGACCATGAAGTCACTATTTCAAAACCTTCTTTCTTCTGTGATCTATGGCTTGTCTTTGATGAGCTCCGCACAATTTCTCTCAATTATGCTGATGATAGTCCTGCTTGTGTCTTTTAGTCTCTGATTCAAGAGCTCAGTTAAGTACCTGATGAAATCTGAACATGTAAACATTGCCACTGGTGATGACAGACCTTTTGCAAAGGCTTAGGTACGCAGACTAAGGGGGCCTTTTGCCGCAAGGTTTAATCTTGGCTGTTTACAGTGAGACAAAATTGCCACTTATGAGAGCAGAAATCTTGCTCCAGGATGGACTGCAGGAATGGAGTTGTCATACAGTGTTCAAACCACTCCTCACTGGCACTTCTCTAATGGGCTGAGCCAACGCCCAGTAGGATCAAGAGAGAGTCATCCATTGACCATTTCAATAGGCACTAGGATCACACTATCAGGAGCAACTTTGTTGAAGTCAATGAAGGGACATGGGTGTGAAAAGAAGTTGGTTGCAGGATCTTCAAAAAGTGATGGACCTTGATTGCACTTGGAAGGAAAAAGAGAAAACCCACCAAAATACTAAGGAGAAATATTAGGTCCCAGATCAGACTTGATTCTTACATTTCTATTGATTTAAATTGCTGTTCACTCTTGTGTAAAATCCTTGGCAGGTTTTTCAGGAGCATTCATTTACCTACTCCACACAGGGATCAATGCCTGAGCTGTTAAGGCACAAAGTCCAGTTTACATTTGGAATCTCACATGCTATTAGCACTTCTAGTTGAATCCTTCAAATTAATCCCTATATAGAACAATTATATCTTTATGTACCAAACTGGCTATTCACTAGTAACCTCATTCAGTATTTTCTAGCACTTACAGTGTCACACTTCTACCACTGAAGGACACCTTAAGTGAGCTGTGGTGATTTATGCAGGACTGGCTGACCAGGTTAGCACCACCTCTCTGCCCTGCCCCTTGCCAAGTGTTCTCAGCCAAGCCTGCAGAATGAGACTTTTGTATGTCCCCTAGCCGTCACTATTCACAGCACTATTTACTAATTCAAACTGAACTTAGTAACAGCTCACTTAATAATCCAGGTTACACACTGATGTAGCTGGGGAGCCAGCTCACATTCCATTCTGCCACCCCTGCCACAGAAGTGGTGAGATCCAGCTGAGGAAGAAAGCAGCCCAGGAGTGATGGCCATGTCCTAATGTACCTCAGAGGCATCCCCTGATGCACATTACAGGCAGTCTAAAAATTAGTCATTCTGTGTTTAAAGCATCAGAGTAACCAGCCTGCTTTGTTGCATAATGCCTTCAACCCTCCTGCATCAACTAATGCTGTGCCCTAGAAAAAGTACAGCTGGTAAAACAGCTGCTGAACAGGTCACAGTGTCAAACACAGATTAAAAACTAGGGTTAGTGATCCATACTTAACACAGAAAACAACACGTCCAAAAGGAAAGAAGCCTCTCAGTCCCCCTGGATCTTACTTTATAGAGAATAAAAATGTTAGGAAGTTATGCAAAACAGTTTTCAAAACAAAATATACAGGAATTACATCACACAAGCACTGCAGTGTAAGCATAAGGAATCCTACTCAAATGGAACTGACAAGCACTTGGGGAGTATTTTACAATCACAGGATAAAGCCAAACTAGGATAAAACAAACATTACCATTTTTTCATTGTTCAGAACTGAGGACTTTCCTGGCTGATAGTCATAAATGCTCCTGGGCTCTGCTCGGTATTTTCTGGTGTCCACCTTCTTGTCTGGAGGCTCCCAGTCAGTCCTGAGTAAAGAAAGATCAATTAACCCAAAACATTGTGGTTTCTGTGGAGACAAGCACTTCCTTTTGACAGGCACCTTTCCCTGTTAATCATGGTTTAATCAGGGTACTTTTTTTAACCTAGGAAAGGAGTCTGCTGCAAGAGGAACAGTTCAGATAGGACTCCAGGCATATATTTGTTTATCTATAGCAGGCAGAGGTTGATACAGCTCAGCTGCTGAAACCATTGGAGTAGAGGAGGTTTCTTCGAAGTACTTTAAATAAACTTTCAGACTACCATGTCTTTCCTGATTGGAAATAGCTTAGTGATGGGCTTCAACTAAGCTCACAAATACAAACATGTCCAAGCTTTGAGCAGAACTCAGACTAAATCTCTTTTGCTAAACTTCTTCATTTTAGCCACATCACTGATTACCTGACTACTACTACTCCGGATTCTGGGGGCACTCTGGGATCCAAGATGGGGTCTTTTCTAGAGACATGAACAAATTATCTCAGACTGGTGTATCTAAAGATGGCTAAGAACAGTCCATTGACTATCCAAACCACGATAATTTTATGCAGTGTCCACACTGGGACAGTTCAGACAATAGTAGTCACAAAGCATTCCGAGTGCATATCCTACAATGTCCAGCTCCTCCGAAAAGTAACATATTTGAACACCTCATGCAGAATAACCAATGCCCCTGAAAAAGTCCAGAAATCAGGCCATTTAAACTGGTAAACTAATTCTGATCTTGCTCTTGATATGTTCCCTTTGATGGGCAATGTTGTATGTGGATTCATCTCACCTAGCATTCACCAAACAAACATGAGGCATCCAACCAGAACTGCTGCTCTAGGTTTCCTTGCACTGCACTTACCCTACTGACCTGGTTTAGGACAGGAATAACCCACTGAGTTGCCCAAACTCTCTCCACTGGCTTAGGAGAGACAGAGGCAACCAATTTAAATTTTTTTTTTTTTTTTTTAAAGTAAGACAAGATGACAGCCAAAATGACTGGCCTACAAACAGCGTACAAATCTCAACAAGGTTGATCTTTGCTGTCTAGAATAAACTTGATTGCTTAAGATTCCAGCCCCAGAGAAACGTCTCCCTGGTGAAACACTGTCACTAGATAACAGGAAGCATTAATTATTGTAACCCTTTCACTTGCAAGAGTCTTCTCAGAGGGCCAATGTACTACGCCTTCAATTCCTGCATAAGGAAGACGCGTTCTATCAGCAAACTTTGTCTCCTGATCTGGTGGCCTGAGATGCTCACTGAATTAGAAATCTCTAATTATGGCATTGCTCATTTGAGGCAGCAAGCGAAAAACATTAAGAGCATGTGGAAGTTGGTGAGGGAGGAAGGAGCAGTTCAAGAGCTGGGAGAATTCAGCAGGACATAAAATATTCATTGCTCATTCTGCTTTCCCTTCATTTGGGAAACGCATTCATTACTGTTACAAAGAGGTTTAAAATACATGGTAATAAACAAAGCAAAAAAACAGAGGGGAAGTCATCTTGAACAATCAGAAGTGACACTGCTAACTAAAGCCTACTTTCAAATAAAATTCATAGGGGTGGAACTGCTCAGAAATGGAAAATGTAAAACAACTTTTACCAAGGCTCAACACAAATCCAGGTTTTGCTTCTCCACAATTATTGCTACTTGCTTGTATTCTGAGGTGCCTTTAGAGTATCACACTGAGCCAAGAGCTTTCACTGTGCCTCTGTGGTGAGCACTGTATAGGCATGACACCCAGGGAAACACTCCTCACCCAGGCAGGAAACTATGCAACGGACTGTGTGATGACTGGTAAAAAAAAGACAGACAAAATGGGGGACTGGGCTGTGACAGTAAAGGAGTTCACTGCTGCCTAGTAGAAGAGTCAGAGTCAAAACTACATGTCCACTTCCCCCAAAAAGTTTAACTGGAGTTGTGGACCTAAAGCTTCCACCTTTTTTCCCTTCGCATTCACAGCTTTCAGAGATTCTTCCAGTACTGATCCAAATACGTCTTAGTTCAGGTCACCTTTCTGGGCTTGATTTCAGCGATGAAGTACGGTTTGGTAGTGGCAAAGTGGCAGACCTCTTAACAACCTTCTCTGAATCAATATTGTCCATCTCACTCTTGGAGCGGGGAACTGAAAGCTGGGTTCTGCCTGTAGGATAAGTCAAATACAGGAATACTAGTGAACTGGATAGGAGGCAAATAAATGCATGCTTTACATGCCCTTTCTGTTTGACAGATTACACAAGAAATGTGAATTACTTACTGTCCTCAGAATAGGAATAATGAGGAGAGTATGAATCAGAATCTTCATCTGAAAGACAAAAGCATTTTGCAAGTGAGCTGAAAAAGCCCCAAAGAAGCAGCACCAGAGACTCTTTTCATTTCTTCTACTAATATATTGGCCGTAATTTGAGTGATATGCCCAATACTTACCACAGGGAGAGGATCCTGGAGAAGAAAATCCCAATGAGGTTCAAATTGCATTTAAATATAATTCCCAGATTAGATATAAATATTAATGTACTACTTACACTAATACCTTTCTCCAGGCTCTCAAAGCACTTCAGAAAACAATCACTTTTTATCACAAAACTCCTCTACAGTAAGAGTTATTAGATCCATTTTATCAAAAGCTGAAAGAAAAATAGAGGATCTAAAAGCTGTAGTATATGCCTAAAATAACTCATTAGGTGCTAGATACAGTAATAGAGCTGAGGAGTCCTGCTCCCAATCACATATGATAACTACTGGGACATCTTCCTTGTATTAACTTGCACACCAAGCTGAAGTATGTTCACTAACTCAGATCATCTTTTAAGCACAGATAACATTCCTGGCACAAGACACACATGTATCCTTACACCAAGAGACTGTCCTTGTTCTCGTGAGCTTACTCTTTAAATAGGAAAGACATGTCTATAGAATGCAATAGAGATATTCAAGCAGCTCTAAAAGAGCTAGCAATGGCATCAGTGTAACTGAGTGATGTGGTCTGGCCCCCAAGCTGAACCAGTGTCAGAGAGAGAACTCTGACACTGAAAGTGTTACACTGCATCAGCACAGCAATCTTGTTCCCAGGACACAGATGCTGCCTTGGGCCGTGAAACCATATATGGCCTTATTCAAAGATAACATGGTATTGTAGTGTGCAAGGCAGATGTGCCCAAAAAGAAGGTGCAAGGATGGTAGCATTACCACCCCCCACTCTACAGGTGATAGCCAGAGAGACTCTGACTTGATCAAAAACCTAGCAGTATCTTTCCACCATCTTCAACAGGCTTTGGAATGAATCCTCAATGAATTGCAGGTAGTAGCAGGGAGAGCTGGGATCAGACCTGGAAACTGGACCCACAGGCCCATCACTTTTCTCTGCTGCTGAGGGTTCAAACTTGCAGGGATGTATCTATGAGACATCTACAGGACTTTCAAGCCAAAATGCAGGAAAGTACAATGCAGTGACTGCAAAGAGAACTGTCAGCAAAGGTTTTACTAATACCTCTGCAAAGAAATCACTAAAAATGACAGAGATAAAAAGACACAAAACCAAAATAGATTAAGCTAGAATAAGCTAGATAGGAAAAGAACATACAAAAAAAGTGTTACGTGAATTTAGTGATGCCGATCAACAGATTGAAACAATTTCCAGATCTCCTCTCAAGGAGGACATCAATCAGCTGCTACAGCCAATCTCATCTGCTGGAAAAAACAATCTGGCTAACACAGCTGACCTGAAATTGCACTCAAGCCTTAATCAAGCCTTTAAGGAAGGCCCAGAGAACTCTTAACTTTTATAGCCTCTCTGCTGAGTTCTCTTGGTGAATGAATTAGAAGGTTTAAGTTCCAAACAGATGGTTATTGACTCTGGTGTGCTTATCCTAGCCTTCAGATTAAAAAATAGCAAAGGTCAATTTTCAGGCTGATTCCCATATCGGAAACCTAAACAACAGAACCAAATATTTATTTATTTGATGTTATTACACTGAATTGGTGACAAAATTGACTGGTATTCCTATATAAAAGTTGGGTTTATTCAGACAGCAAAATACTTGGCAAATCACAAAACTCTCGGTCCCTACAAATACAGATGTCAAAACAAATGTCTAAAACTATCTTCACAGCCATTCACCTCTCTCAGTCTTATTTAGTGCTGGCGTTCAATGAAAAAATTGATTTACTTACTTGAAGAGAAATAGCAATATTCAATATAGCTCATCATTCAGACAGGAAAACTATACAATAAAAAAATCACTTCAGATAAGTGTTCTTTTCCAATTGCTAATATTCTAATATCTACAATAATAAGGAGAACAGGTATGTTTTGTCTCTCAGTATCTTATGAAGAAGGGTGTCTACATTTCTTCCCTTTTTACAGCAAGGAATACTGAAACACAGAAATCTGGAATGACTTGATAAGAATTAAAGAGTAAATTAGAGATGAGCATTAAAACAAGATCTCCTGGCTCTCAGAGCTGCATTCTATCTGTGGGCCCCTCCTTAATGGAGCAGGGTATTACCAGTTTGTAATTTCACAATCTGATTCCTTTAGCAAGAAGATGCTGTTCCCCTGTAGTTCCTAGAGAATCTGCAGGGTTTTTTTTCATGGGTTGCCCATATTCTCTATGTTTCTAGAGACTCTAAAGGTATTTTAGAAGGGAGCCCAAATCTTGATGTTTCTAGGAGATTCTACAAAGCAAAAAACTGACATTGATTGCATGAAACCGAGACTTCAAACCATCTCTGTACAAACACTTTGCTATTGAGTATGTAACTTCAAAAAGTTTTCTAAACATGAAGCATGCACTCCAATCCATCTACATCATCCAATATCAAGGAAAGAATCCAAGCAAATATTAGAGAAACATTTCCCAATATATTGAGAATAAAAAGCAAGTTGTTTGGTCCAACAAAATTTCAACTACCTAAACCAGCAAATTACCTTCATATGCACATTTCTAAGCACATAGGGGACATTTATGGGAAACCAGACTCTTACTACATTATCATCATTGGTCTTGCAAACTACGTTAGTTCAGACAAGAGCAAAATGGATTTTCAAACTTAATTATGAACAAGAAAACTGAATCTCTGTAAAACTCCTTTATCAATTAGTTACCGAGACACTGTTTCTCTCTCACCCATACCCACATACCTTTCTGCCAATAGAAAATAATTTACACTGCATTATGATTTGCAAGACAGGACTCTTCACCTACAGGTTTCACCAAGAAATGAGCAAGTATCTTAGATATCTGTATGACACTAGTCCACATTCATTTTAACAGTGAAATGCACCTTACATCTCCTAGTCATCTTTGAGCATATCAGCTACAACCCATATTGTATGCTTTCTTCTTACACAGTACCTACCAGACATTTAATGTAAACATTGAATGAAATGGTTAATTAATAGTCTCACTAGGGTTGGCTTGAGGCACAGGCTAAGTAGGCAAGTTCCTAAATTGCAGGATCTGAAGTGACACCAAAGCACCAAGTCAACAAGGCTGTCACCAACAGCAGCTTCCCAATCAGGAAATGTCTGTATGTCCAGCATGTGCAGTGGATTCCAGTGTTTCTCATACATAAGTGTTTTCATGCATATGCACACAGTTACATGATTATCACTGCAATAGATGCTCTTTCACCATCCCTGAAACATGACTGCAAAGGATTCTGGTTTGTACATGAAGTTTAAAGGAATCTGCTGAGCACATGAAGAGGATAAGGTAAAGACAGTGTTATTTCAAGCTGCAAGATGTGCTGATGAGACTGTCAAACTCTGTCCTTGCCTAGATATGCCATGTGCGCCTAAGGCCAGCCCTGAACCTATGTTACCAGGTTATATTTATTTTAAAAGACTACATTGAGGGACTAATCCAAAACCCACTGAAGCAAGCAGCCTTTTTACCAATAGACTTCAGTGGCATTTTGGGTCTGGCCCTAATACTGTGTTAATATTCAAAACCAGAAGTAAATAATTAAAGGAATGTATTGATCTGAAAGGGGGGGTAGGAGAAATCTCAGTTAAACCACATTTTACATGTAAGTCAGCATTCTAGGCATATTAAATAATCACTGCACACACATGGCTAAATACAACTGATAAGCGCATAAAACCAAGCAAACCCCAAGTCCGTAGCATTAGTCAAATACTAGTTAACAAAGCCAGAGGAGCACTGCAAAGCCAAAAAGGCATCATACAGTCAAGGCAATACTTAGAGTGCAGCAAATCATTATGAGGCAGCATAATGCTCAGCAACTAGAAAAAACTCCAGGAAGAAAATAAATGGATAAGGTAGCATTTGTGCAGAAAAATACATATAGTCCTTTATTATTACCTTCAGAGATAGGACTAGGAGTAGACGCAGGAAACTGGTATGTAGGAGAATAAGGATTGTCTTCTGCAGCAGAGAAAAGCAGTGGATTTTGAGACTATCCACAGTGAAGTGGAGGTTCTGCTTCATCCCCCAATTTCCTATCACCATATGATTTTATTGCCTACTTTAATAATGCTAGAGTAAATGGCATCATACTTTAAAAAAAGATTAATGGATTAGCAAAGATTTAGTTATTTTATGCATCACACAAGAAGGTATACTGGGCATAACTGAATTTCCAGCCAGTGTAACACATGGGTAATGAAAATCTAGAACCTGAATCTAGTTACTATTAGGATGCTGTAGTACAGTTAACTCAAAGCACAAGACAACAGATACTCTGACTAAACTTCTGGTACCTTCAGTTTTTTGCTGGATTTCAGGAAGTTCAGGAAATATGTAGGTAGGGCAATAAGGATTTTCTTCAGGAGTGTCTAAGGAGAGGAACATGATTTGCAAAAAAAAAAAGAACAGAGAGCACAGATTTAAAGGGGAAGAAGGGCAAGACAAGAATCCATACAAGTTGACTGCAGAACGATCCCTCTCGTGCTGATGTTCTAGCATGACACAACCTAGAGCCATCTCTGCTCATTGCTGCCTTGCATGTCTGGGCCCTGCAAAAGATCCTGGAAACTGAGGAGACTGAACTAATTCTCTTCCTTCTGAAGCATGGGCTCTGGCCAGGCTGAAGAACCTCTGTTAGGAGCACTGGGATTAGGAAACAGTTCAACTCATTCCATCCAATACAACACAGCATCTATCTATGCATAAAGCTCATCATGACAGCACCTGCAGCAGCAAATAAAGCTCCAGTTTTGCATGCTCTATGTTTTATTATATAAGCACAGATCTGAATTGCACCTGCCTGCACATCAGGCTGTTCAGAACGTTCAGTTTGCAAATGTTATTGCAGCCATTTCTCACACAGAAGAACGAATGCGAATGCATCAGCAGCCAGGCACGGACGTGCCCCAGAGTAGGGGATCCCCTAAGAGTGCATCACTACAAAGTTTGCAAGTACTCACCAGAATTTTAGGTTTTGAAACGAGAAAATTTGAGGTTTTGAAAATAGCAGAGTTCAGATTCTGGACGTTTCCACTGGTTTCAGTGAGCTTCAAATCAAGCTTTGTTACACAGGTACTAAAGCTTTACAGTGTAAAGTTTTCTCTTGCACACAGAGCAGTTTTAGTGATAACCTACTGTCCTCTGAAAGTGTGTACGGGTGGGGTTAGCTGCTAAAACTGAAGTTCAGGGATCTATTCTCTAAATATGGAATTATTAATGGCTTTCTGATCTCAAACAGACTTTTCTTTGGACTTCACTGTTCTTACCTTTAACTTCAGACATTTCAAATACTTTGAGTTCTACGGTGCACAGCAAACACTAGTTAACATAAAACACTTCTATATAACAAGCAGTACAACTCTTCACATTAATGAAACAAAATGTTATCAAGGTGGTTGTTTAAAATAAATAAAAACCATCTGTGTTACAGTACCTCTATTTAGCTTGTGGATCTGTTTGAACATCGTCTTGTACCAGTCCTTTGATCTGTCTGTATTCTGTTGGAAAAATAAATACACACATATAATAATCACAGCCATGAATTCTACCAGCCTTCCAAAGTTCTCATGAATCTTCCAGCAATACTGAAAAGGGTTTACACTCTGCTATATGGAATTAATACTTTGAAATATGAGCGATTTCACTCAGATATATAATCTCCTATGTAAGAAAGCTACAGGCTTCACTCAAGTTACTAATAACATACAAGCTTTGCAGCGGTAGGTTGTAACCTGTGTAGAACTGTGTGAAAGGTTTTGCACATTAATGTGATTTGACATCTAAAAGTAGAAACCTTACCTATTTTTAGTCATACGTACCAATTTCCTAAGTATTCAATTGACAGTTAGAAACACTTAATGTTCAAGTCACTCCAGACACTAGTTGTAAGAATAGGTTAATAATTCGTTTCATGATAATTTCCCCTGAACACCAAATGAAATTAAACATGCTGTATAAAAGAGATATCTGCCTTTAAGATAGCTAAAATGAGACAAAACTCTCACTTAGCTGCTAGCTGTGAATGAAACAGAAGAGCAGAAAACAGTATTTTCAAATATGATGAAAAGATACATGAACTTGAATTTTTTTTCCCCGAGGCAGCTGAAACAGGTCATTGATAGCAAATGGAAGTGTTCATAATAAAACACATTGGAACTAGAATTCTATCTTCCCTTAAATCTCTGCAGTTTCTGGAGCTTTAGTGAATTCCCTGAGTCCTAAGGTAGGCAGAATCTGGCCCACGTTTTGTGCACTGACCACATGCTCAGTGTTGTCTTACCCTCAGCGGAATGCCAATGTCATCGACGGAGGTATCAGCCATGTGCTGAGGGCTCTTGACAATGCTTCTCTTCTCCTCCATTGCCCTCTTCTCACTTGGCACTGTCTCCTGAACCAGCTTGTCCCGTATGGGCGCTGAATCAACTTTATCAGAAACTAGTCTGTCTGGTACTGAATCTGGAAAAGACAATGGGGTATTCTTATCTCATCCCAGAATTTCACCACATCACCATATTCCACTCTTTTAAGGCAAAAATCCTAGCAAGTAGTTGATGAGACAGACTGTGTCACTGCTAGCTGTGGTTAGCATCTGGACTGAAGGAAATCTACAAAGAAAATATTTGAAGCAGGCTAGCACCTCTCAGGTAGCTACCTTCACACATCTCATGACAGTTTCAGTTGTCACATAAGACAATGGAAAATTTTGGTTTCAAGGACTGTTTGGGGGTTGGGGTTTTGTGTCTTTTTAACTAATTAGTGACTCTGCAATCTCATTCTTCATCAAAAAGCATCAGTGATACACTCTCCTAGACATCTTTTTCTGCTAGTGATTTCAATCTAATGGAGCATTCTACGTGGTAGTGGGGCACTGCTTTTTAACAGCTTGCACTCACCTGTCAGACAAACCCATTCCTTATAGTCAGTATATGATGCTTCCAATTCATCTCTGTGCCCTAACCGGAGTTTGTAAGCAACAAATTCCACTGTTGTTTAACCATACATATGATTCCTCTTGCACATGAGTCTGAGTAAAGATTGGGGGGAAACAACTAATTGCTCCAGAATGCCTCACTTCCACCTGCAATTCCTTGACACTGCCCAACTGACACCCACACGTAGCAGCAGGAACGACCCCCACCACTGGCCAAGGAACCAAGGGAGCTCAGGTTGCTCTGAAGCTCTACTGTGCTCTGGAGAGCTGCAGCACAGCAACTCTTAGGCTCTGACAAGGACTTTTTCTATGTGGATTTTCTGGAGTGGAAATATCTGTGATTTTACAGTCTGCCTCATCAAGACTTTGCCAAGTCCTATCCCTTTTACTTCACTGCATGCATTGAAAAGAGAGAGATAGAGAGATGTTTATTCACATGCACATCACCATACTGCCCAAAGCCATTAAATGTGCAGAAATCTGAAAGGGGCAATTAGCAGAGGAAAGGCTCGTGCATAACAAAGCATTGGTCTGTTGGTACCTTGAGCAAACACAATTCTGCCCTGCTAAACTCAGTACATGAAGGATTTGTGTTTGAGTGGTTGGTTTGAAATTATCATCAAACTTTAAGTCTTCCTCCTCTTTAAGAAAAAATGAAATAATGTTTATAAATGTGCAAGATGGGGCAAAGCATCTATTAAATCCTTGTTTAGCATTTTCATCCTATTTCCTCTCCCTGTGAATGTGTGTGCACTATCTTTTGGTCCTTCCATGTCCCTTGTGTACAGGGCTCTCCATTTTGTAGGAAGTACTTGGTCCATTTCTATTACTAAACGCCTTACTATGCCTCTAGGAACAGAGCACAGAAAGAGCAACTGAAACTAGACCATTCTTCCATGACCTTGAAGACCAAAAGGAAGCGGGGTTTTGGATGTAGATGGGAATGTGGACAGGATGCAAACTTTAGGAAAGGTCACCACTTTCCTCCATTACTTATCATTGTCACTGCTGATATTACAAGTCCTGAGCATCTGGTCTAGAAAAGTCATTATTTTCTGCAGGCTAGAGAATTCAATGCCAGAGAAGGTTACAAAGTCCTTCTCTAACAGGACTGGTAAATATAGTATTTCTCTTTGATTCCCTAGCTCCCTGCACTACAAAAGTGGTTGGCTATTTGCCAGGTAAACCCCATCTGAAATGATGATGATAATATTCAAAATACCCAATATAGACATAAACAACAGGGTAAATGTATCACAATCTGATTTCCCAGTGCCACTGCCATGATCTAAGCAAAATTTTTATTTTGATGATTTAGCAAAAATAAAACCCACCATCTGGCCTGTGCCAGCCACCTCCCAACCATGAATTCACATAACATGAAGGTTTGGGAGCTATCTAGCATGGCATAGCTGGGGGGGAAATCTACCAGCCAGTTAAACATATTTTGAAGGAGTCTTCAAAAATAGTTTTTGGAGTGCACTTAGAACTGGTTGAAGGTGCTGGACTGACAACCCTGGAGACAGGAAAGGCCTGTCTGACAGCACAAGTTGTATTAGGGCAAGCCCGCCCTCCCTCCCTCCTATGTCACAAGACTCAACCAAGAGGACCAGCTTAGCTGCTGCTCCAGTTTGGCTGCTCAGCTGATGCTGCAAGCACAGACACCTGCTGCACAGGTGTCTTTGCAGAGGGAGGAACTCAAGCCCACATCTTTCACCACAGATTTCCAACAATACCCTACAACTTGGAGAATAATGGCTAAACTTATTTGCCATGCAGCTCCAATGATTTCAAAAGAGTTTATGGAGGTATATACCAGGCTTTGAGGTATTTAAAAATCAGAGGGCCAAATCTGGTGCCTAATCACCCAAATAACCTGACTGCACCAGTCAGCACACTCCATGGCACCTGAGCCATCCTTTTGCAAGAGCAGAAGCAATATATGGGGTTGCACAGCAAGACAGCTTTACTGTTGTGACCAATAGGACATAAAAAGCAGGGGAGAGGTGGCAGCCAGCAGCTTTGTATGGTCATTTTGGTACACTGAGAGCAGGTACAGACCCAGCTGTGCCACAACACACTTCATTCTCCCAGACCTAGGATCACTCAGGCTGTCAGAAACTGCTCTGTGGCTATCTCTAGTTCAGAAAACAAATGAGTTCCTGATAATGCAGGGAAACACCTTGCAAAAGAGAAAAAAAACCAACAGGAAACCTCTGTCCAGACTTGCAGGCAAGCGTTAAACTCACAGCTGAGTGGTGCCTAATGAGGTGTAAGCTGTTATGCAGCCTGTCACCTCAGCAGGGTGGCAGCAGAGAGGAGGGACAGGCTGGTATCACAGCAGAAGGAACCTGGTGGATGAAGTCCGACCAGGTCAGCAGCAGCCTCACTGGCAGACGCTGTCCTCATTAGACACACTCTGCTAGCCCCAGGCCCATGCAGCAGAGCAAGAGCACATGATATTGGCTTCCCTGTGTTTCTATTTGTGCTATTTAAAGTGCTTAGGCACTCTCTGTGACTCTCTTCTCCCACCTTTCCATTTACCCCACCATGGCCATAACCAAAGAATAATAATATGGGTAAGTGGTGCATAGTGCATGTTCCTAGAACACCCACTGCAGACTGAGCTACTTCTATTTGGGGAGTGAAAGATGACCAGTAAAACAACTTGCTCTTCTTTCAAGGAGAGACTCTCACACCCTTTGCAAGAGCAGAGAGCTGCCCAGGGACAGAAGGGTGGCAGCACACGAGCATACTTGCACGCTACTATTTTATCATCTATTTCTTGACATCTGGCACAAATACTTCTGCTCTTAGAGTCATGTGAATACTGATTTCTATTTCTCTTTCCTCTCCTCTCGCCCCAAGCAAGACTAAATCTAATGTCTGTGTAGAGAAACTTGAGAATATGCCCAAAAGGAGTAAACCTAAAGGCTCAAAAGGCAGCCCCAAAAGTGAGTTAGGACAATCAAATGTATGTAAATCTTACGACTTGGGAGGAACAGGTGAGTAATTTAGGGTTTCGGTATATTAACATGTGGCCACACAGGTAGCATTTGGAGGAAAGACTGAAATCAAACATTCAGTGACCTGGACTAAGCCAGAACAAGTATTTATACTAATTCCTTTGCTGGTCCTGGGAAGTGTGTTTGCTAAAGGTACTCCTCAAGCTAACAAAGCAGCAGCTTTGCTCCAGAGGCAGCAGCTGGGGGGTAGCAGACCTTTCACATCATACCTGCCAGGCTACTAAGCCTTTTTTGCTGTTCTGTGGTAAAGGAAATAACAAAACAAGAAATACAGAACAAATGGGTGAGACATAAACAGCAAGTGCTCTGGTGCTGCATTTATGACAGGCAAGAAATACACTGTAGACAGAACGGCAGCAGCTGCTGGAGAGAATCTGTTTTCAAATACCCTGCCAAAGTTACGGCCCACAGTCCCTTCTCCACGCAGCAGCCTTGTGGAATAATATAAATCTCATGATGCAGTGACCAATACATTTGCAAAGAGCATTTTGTTAATTTTTTTGTTTTTTTCTTAACATCAGAGAATGAAAAAAGTTGGACAGGAGACAATTTGAAAAACAGTAAAGACTAACAGAGTCAAACAACTTGACAACTAACTCTGTTACCATTAGCATGAAGTACATCTTGAGACAATAATGCTGTAGCATTTCAAAGGGATATAGGAAAGGATCAAGTCGTTGGTGCTTGCTGAGTCTCATCACATACTAGCCAGCCACAGATTCAGTGATTTGTGCATAGACACAGCTTGGTTAAGGCTTCAATTCTCAGAATGGTCCCCTTGGTTTAGGGCCTTTCATTACTGAGCACCCAGACTGGGACATTTGTGGTATCTTCCGGTGTGTTTGAGCACCCTAGAGCTGATGCTCATAGCTGCTTTCTAAAGGGATGCCCAAATTACTTGCCCACATCATGGCTGGGAATAAACCATGAATTCTTAGCTCTCTGTTCTCTGCTCTTTCTATGCCCTAGCAATTAATCCTTTCATTTAAAGCATGAAAGCCATTTGAAAAGAATAAACTATTTTACTTACATACAAAATACAAACACTCCTGAAAGCTCATATTGTTAATGCAAACATTTCAAAACTTTAATATATTAATCACACTTGTTATATATTCATAATAAACCATGCCATGCAATGCCTGCCCAGGAAATAACTGCGCTTTGGGATGTCGTGGGACACTTATCAAGCAAGTCTGCAGTAGGTAACAATCCTCCAGGTGTATACTGTTTGCTAGCAGAACCCATCTGCACTAGATACTTGTACTAAGTGGATCATCTCTGCCAGGGAGACTGATATTTCTCCTCACTAAGTGCAGCTCCCTCACCAATACCTATTAACTTTATTCTTTAACCCCAGCACTTCACTGATGGCAAGCTGCTCATGTGCATTATGCTCACGTGATAGCTGCCAACATATGAAACAAGCCCCTACGTGCAATGGCTAAAAGGAAGGGTTAGCAATCTGAACCTGAAAAGTAGATGGTGAACCACCTGCTGCAGCATTCTTCTAAGCGGGCCATCAGGAGTAGGCTGCTGTATTATGAGAAAGGAGAAAAGATGCGACTGAGGATGGTCTCAGCTTCAGCCGTTACCTTCACTGAGGAGAATTGTGTTCAATCACTAAGGTCTCCTGACAAAAACATTGTGGTTTAAAAAGTCAATGCTTGAGAGCTCTTTCCTATCTCTTCTTTGACAGGGGAGAGAATATCAGAGATGAATAGACTTTTCGTGAAAAAAAAAATGTACTTTTTACATGAAGAGGAGGTTTCCTTTTCACTTACGTCTCTGAGTAGAAAAGAGAGCAGCTGATGAACAGAAGTGGAAGGAGCAGGAGGTATCCGCTATTTCACTCTCCTGCCTGACCAGAGCCAGCTTGTAGCCCCAGGCACACACCAGCTAACTGAGGCTTTCACCCTTGATCTCGTGTTCTGGGACTGTAAGCAAAGGCCAAAAACTTGTAGGCTTCTCAGAGAAAGGGTCGAGCAGAGGAATAGAACTGCTGGCAACAGTGAAAGAGTGATTACAGATGCCTTCAGAGTTCCCAGAGCAGGGAGCACTGAAGGAGACTAAGACCTGAAACCAATAACAAAAGGGGAAGAGGAAACAAATATTTGAGTACATGCTTAGTGCATAATAAAGGTGTCAAAAAGAAAATCAATCAAGACACCAGCAGATATGATGGGAAGAAATTCTTACCTTGGTGGTAGGAATGAACAAGATGATCTGAAATTACTTTTTTATAAGCATAAATCTTATTCAGTTGGTATTACTGAAATCCAGTAGAAAAAATTGAGATCTCTCATCATGACTTACTGAGTAAGATCAAGCAGACAAAAAAAAAAGGATATAGTGTAGTTTCTGAGTGCTTCAAATCCATTATCTGTTTCTAAGTCTCTGACAGTTCCAAATCAAAGCGTCTTACATGCTTACAGTCAATGAACTAGCAGATAAAGCATAAAATAGGACAGTAGGTGATGTCTGCTAGAACAGTCACTCCAGAGAATAAGATAACCAGCTCCTTAAAAAGCAATCAATAATCCACTGAGGAAGGAGAAAGTCACATTACCAATCTGGAAGGCTAACTAAACTACTAAAGGTCTCAGACTGCCAGCATTAAAATTTGAAATTTCTAATTCAGAGGGTATTTCATAGCACCCAAGAGGAATTTATATTAAACCTCATCTTGACATGAAGGAACTGATTTCAGCACAAAACATAATTAACCATTCAGGGGAAGGTGGATCATAGCCTAGTAACAATTTGTTATAGGCCACGAGACCAAACCAGTTTTGAACAGATAAGGTCCATAAAGATGAAACAAATACAAATCACATCAGCCAGGACGGAAATGTAATAGATAACTAAGATCTGAGAACCATTTAAAAACACTAAGTTAGCAAAAAGAAATCTTAATGCTATGCTGGGATAAAGCCTAGATAGGAATGGAAGCAGAAGGAACTCTAAGAAACCCTCAACACATAAAAAGATAGGAAACTAAGAAAATTTATACCTATGAGTAGGTAACATATGCTGGGAAGTGAAAGAAAATGACAACGGAAGCAAAAGAATTAACAGAAAGTCTCAGAGACTCAAAAATAGGTTTTGAGGTACCTGAAGAATAAACAGAAACCTAGCAATGATCTTGTTCTTTTATGAAATAGGCACAGTGGAACTGCTAATAAGAGGGCAGAAAAGATGACACATCTGATTACAATTTCCATTCTGCATTTGGGGGGGGGAGTCTGATATCCTACCACCTGATGGAGAAATACTTTCCACTTCAACAGTAACTAAGGACGATGCTGAATGGCAACAACTGAGGTCAGATGCTTAAAAATTAGCACGTTCATATAAATTGTACTGAAGCAGTTTTCTGCTCTAAAGAGAGCAGTTATGGAGAAAGCAGCTCATTGGACCATTAACATTCATCTTCAGTATGTCTTGGAATACAAAGGAAACTCCACAGGACAAGGAATAAAGCAAATGTTGTGACAACCTTCAAAAAGCATCAGTGTGATGGCTGGGACAACTGTCAAGTTGACCATAATGCCAGAAAAAAACCCCCACTGTAATGACTTATATGGGATTTTACTAATAAATAGTATGACACATGCAATGTCAGTCAATACAGATTCATGACTAACATGCCTCGTCAAACCAGTTCAATATGATTCTTGCAAATTACAAGTTTGACTAAAGACTGAAAAACACGCATTAGAATGAGATACTTCACAGACTTGATTAAGTTGCTTATCAGGCCATAATCTACACCATAGTCAACAAAAATGTGATGAGAGAAGGCTCTTCAATCTATCAGGATACAGTATCATGAGTGCTAATGGTCAGAGGCAAGACATTCAGACAGGACAAATTGTAAACTGTGAAGGTTATTAATAAACAGAACAATTTGACATCAGTTGTCTCAGAGCCTCTGTGTGTGTATCATCATATTATATAGATTTTTCTCTTGTGCTCTTAAAATCTACAGAGACAAAATATCCTTGTGTAGTACACACTGAAATGCTCCAGGTTTAATGCGAAAACCAACCAAAAGAGTATCCCACCTCAAGAAAGTCAACAAAAGACTTTGAGATAAAGAAAGGCTGCCTCAAACAGTATTTTCTCCTCTTGAAGCAGCTGAGGAATCCAGACACCCCCATTCAGAAGCACACAAGCAAAGCTGCTTCAGATGCTGGCAAAAAGGAAGAGATAACCCACTCATTACCCCTATAATCAGCTGCGCTACAGTGAGGACACTACCTTCAGGATCAAAGACTGCAGTCTGTTTTAAAAATGCACTGAAAAAAAAATGCATGAGGGGCTGGAAAGGAGCCCACCAATGCACACCTGTAATTAGAGTAACTACAATATGAGGAGTGCAGGCCTTGCCCATATTTTCTGATTATTTTTTTTCTTTGCAAAATGTAAGACACAGCATTGTAGATTAGAATCTGCTTGTCCTGGAGTTTCCTAAATCCACTGGAAACCAAGGCAAATTGGACTGCATCTGTGTGGCCCTTTATAAGCTACAGTCTTTAGCGATGCACAATGAGCTGGGAGGCTGGGGTAATGCCAGCCATCAGGAGAACTAAAAAAGAGAAGCAAAGTTTCCCTCTAATACCAGATGTAAAGAGATGCAACTGTCCATTCAGAGGGAGCTGCTGTGAGGCAGAGAAAGGCTTAGATTAGTAAACATGGGAGTGCTCAAACAAGGTGGTTTTGTTCATATGCAAACCCAGAGCTCAAGGACTACTGCAGTATGAGTCTGAGTTAATCCAGTTATGGATAGAGGAACAAATTGCCAACTCCAAACTTATGGGCAAACAGATTATTTACTATTGGGTAAATTCTGCTGGGAACCCAGAGGTCAAATCTCTCCTGCAGTAACTGAAAATATGGCTGCTTTCATGCTGCAGTAGCTGAGAAGTAACATATCCCCTTTTCCAGTGAGGGAGAACCCACCTCAAGCTACCTTGCGTCTACTGACAGATAGATGCGAACATACACCCTTTTCCACTATGACAGGACACCTGATGGGAGATAAGCTGTTACCCTGTGATAACTTACTCATATGTCCATAGACCAGTTACAAGCCTCTCCCTCAACATCAGAGTAGCTTCTGATCCACAGGTTTTAATTAGAAAAAGTAGGCATTGTCCCATGCCTCTAACCTCTTACTTGCCTGTTGTATGCTCCAGTCACTACAACTTTCTGGAAGCAGCTTTGTTAGCTCTTAGTAGTCTGGACTTAATTGCCCACGGCGCACACATTCCCCAGTTCCTTGTAAGCATAACAGGTTGCTCAGTTTGAGTCACAAATACCTATATGCAAGTCTCCTTACCTCGATTGTGCTGCAAGAGGACAATAGTGGGATTGACGATTGTGGTAGAAGGATAGGCAGAGGAAGACTTGTTGATTGAAGTGAAGGAGGTTGGATAGTCCGTGCCAGTGCCAGGCTGGGGCACTTCATTTAGCACAGGACCTGGGTCCTGAAAAGGAGAGCAACACATCATTAGCAGCATGCAGAAGGCTGCTACACTGGGAAAATGTGGGGAAAAAAAAACCCCAACATTTTAAGCTGAATGAGAAGCATAATCACAGCAAATTTTAGTAAACAAGGCATAAGCATGAGTGTTACCCTGCTCCTTGTATGTACCCTGCTCGTTGTTAATGCAATTAGTTTGCTAAGGCAGTACTATAATTATTTGGTGTTGGGTTTCATAACTCCAACCCCAAAAGGAGGCACTAAATTAATCTGGCAGGCTCTCTGGAGCAAACACAGGGTGCCAGAAATGAGCAAATCAGGTTGGGGTGGAAGACACAGACATCTTTCCTCTGGTACATACACACACAAACATTTGTTTTAAAATCATTCCTTTCATAGCAAGAAGTCAGACATGCAAAACTCATGCAATTCTGGAGTGAAATGTTATTACTGCAGCTGGTCTCATAAGAAAGGTCCGAGGAATAAGGTTAGCACCATCACTCAGGAGACAGTGTGACACCTACCTGGTTAAAATAATGAAATAGAAAAAAAACCCCAAAACTGACAGCGGGTAAAAGGTGTGACTCTAGCAAGGAAGATACTCAATGTGGCTTTGCAGCTGGAGCACATATAGCAAGCTGCTCTTGTTCTCCTAAAGCATCCAGCTGCATTATTTGCTTGTTTCAAACCCACCTTTGGTATCACCACAGCTCCGGTTGTTTTGTAGAAATACAGGCTGTGTCAGCAGAGAGACTTTAAAAACTAGTTAGTCTTTGAAAAATCTCAGTCCAGGCATACCAGGCTTTTGTTGGTACTAAGGGAAAAAGATAAAGCAGGGACGATGACTAAGGCTGCGTGTGCCAGTTTAGGCTGAGATTTTTCAAAGCTTCTTAAGGAATTTGGACACACAATTACCATTAATGTGGAATGAGCATCCAAAGAGAGTATGGAACAGCGTACCAGATTTCTGCACTCCTGCTACTCCACTGTCCAACTGAAATGCTGCAGGCTGCTGATCTGTAAAATGGAGCTGAGCATTCAGGGGGATTTTCATCACTATTAAAAAAACTCTGAACATGCACTTCTGTGTAATATTCTTATTGCTACACAAGAATCCCTACTCCTGGCTTTTCTGGCCAAGTACAACTCAGTGCCCTTCATACCCACCAGCATCAGGGGAAAGAACTTACAGTATCAGACAGGTGGCTGAACAGGGGCCAGAGTGAGGCCTGGCACCAGAGCTCAGAGATAAATCATAGTGAGAATTGGCCACCAACAGAACAAGCACCTACAGTCTCTCCAACCTAGAGGGGAAATAGGGAAGAATAATCCTGTTCTGCTGGATGGAGGTGATCTTGCTCCAAGCAGCATCTGATCAGGCCATAGACATTTCATGAGGACAGAAGGGAATCAATGGTCCTCAGAAACAGATGTCCCTAAGAGAGAGACCCAGCCCCACTTTGCTGGCTGTGATAATATTCCAAACAATGCAATTTGGGCAAAGGAGTGGGAGTCAGGGAGAAGTATGAGAAAGTTGGGTTTGAGCTTCACTTTGATAACTAAAATATAAAGAACCCTCAGAGAAGAGGGATGTCAGATCAGGGTAGGCTCAGCAGTCCCATCTAAGTCCCCAAAGGGGGTGAAGACCATTTACATCTTTGTGGAAAACAGCACTGTGACTACATGCCTGAAGTGAGCATGCCCAAAAATGTTTCAAAACTCTCATCTCATGAAAAATCTGGTACAGCATAATTTCCACTACTCCTCTATGATTTGGATGCCTGCTGAATTTTTCTGGAGCCTGCAGATAGGCTCCATTAAAAAACAAACCCCCCAAACTTTCATTACTCTCTGCAATAAAAACCCCACTGATTTCAAGAGAAGCAGAAAGGCCAATGCTGAGAACTTTTGAAAATACCACCCTTGGTTGTTTTTTTCTTTTTTTCTCTGCCATATGCCTGTTTGCTAGATCCCTATAGAGCCAGAGGGCAGAGAAAGCATCATCATGAGAGGAGGGGGGTTTTGCTGAACTTCCCTTCTTGTCCTTACAAGCAACCATATGAAAAAAAACCCAAACAAAAAACAAACAAACAAACAAACAGTGGCTGTAAGACTTCCAGTACAAGTAGGGTCAGGCACTTTTTGCCTCCTCTGCAACTTTAACTGAGAGCTACTTTTCCTCCTTGTCCCTGGGGACTTTTTAAAAACAGGTGATAAGCATAAAGAGAAACAAAACCTACTCCAAGAAGAACACAGTAAATTCCAAGTTAAAACTGTTGCAGATTGAATTCTTTAAAGTTTTCAAAGACAAGCAATTCCAAACTGAAGAGACACTCTCCCCCTAATCCATCCCATAGCACCTACACACTTGGAAGACTCTCAGCTCAGTAACTGATATTATTGCTTGTAGGTCATTGGATACTGGCAGCAATCTTACACTGATTTCAGCAGGGATTTGTGTGGAGACCATACGGTTTTGTGGCTCCAAGTGGAACAGAAAGCCAGCCCTAACCTTTAACTGATCTGCTGTTGCTGCTTTAAATGTTATTCAAACACACATTAAGGATGCTATTAAAAGAGCCTGAAGAGATCAGTTAGTTGCAGCTATTCTGTTTATACAGAATTCATTATTCTGAGCAAATCCTGTGAAGACTCTTAAGGTGTGCATCACCTAGCAGAATGGGCACAAAGGGAGACAGTCAAATGCTGTTGCAAGAAGTCAATAGAAAGTTCAAAGCTGCGCAAGGCAGGCAACACACATGCACTAGCACAGGACGTAAACAAGGTTTCAGCTGTCATGCTGCTGGCAGGGAGTGAGTCATCACTCCTCTCTCAAGTTTAGTATTGCAAGGAGAAAGTAATTTTAATCTGGGAATACAAATTTAGGAAAAGGGCGAAGAGGGTACTTGGCAAGCTTACTGTATGTGAGATGACTCCAGTGATTTCAGGCTTCAAGCCCCTGCACAAAGCCCCCGTGACTGGAGGGACAAGTGAAGGTGGTGATGAGAAGAATGGCAGTTTCGGGTAAACTGAGGGTAATGTGCCAGATGTGGAGGGTGCTTGGTTATGGTGGCAACCCCTCTGGAGATGTGGGGGAATGAAATCGTCTAGAGTCGGAAAAGTCAAGGGTGAGCCAGGAGAACCAGTCTCAGGGAATACGGAGCCTTGCCCAAAAGGAACCAGAGGTGGTGGTGGAGTGCTGGAGCTGCCTTCTTGCTGTCTGTCTGGATTAACCTGGAGGAGTGGGACTACTATAACCCCAGGCTGAGCTGTGGTGGTGGCAGTGGCATCCTGTAGGAAACAAGGTGTTGTTATGCAACGGGGGAGATTGGTACTTGAGTCTAACGCAGCCATATAGTGTCATGCAAGGATGCACCCAAAATGATACGAAGCCCCAGCAGATTTTCTTTCCTTAGGGAGACTAGTTCTTCAGTCTTGTAGCCCTGGCCTCTATCAACACGCATGGTTTTTCACAAAAATCTTCCTTCCCCTCACCACTGCAGTTCCGTGCAGTGAGGCTAAATCAAACCACAGAACAGCTCTGCATTCACCATCACTTGAGAAACACTAACCATCACATTACAGAGTTTGCTGCTTTTACACCTCCCTAAAATAGAAAGATCCTTGCCAGCCCAACCCCCTACAATCACCATACACACACAAACACACAGATCAACGTTGTGGGGGGGCGCGCATAGGTTGTTAAGTATTATCAAGTAGAAGACCATGAGACTCTGGTGGCACAATGAATGCTCAGAAATTAGGTAGGAGGGGAATAAAGCATTAAGGAAACATTGTAATGAATTAAAGAACCATCTGCACGGCTGAAAGAAAAGGTTATGGAGAAAACATGTACCATGCTGCGTCCCATTGCCTTGTACGGTGGCTGTCGCTGCTGAGTAAGGTAAGGCTCTTTTCTCATCCTGTCCTCTGTGGCAGCTGTGCTCTGGGGCTCTAGCACTCTGTCCCTCACAGCTTGTGGAGGTGACGACTGAGTCCAGGAGGGTTGGCCCGCACCATAACTAACTGCGTCTTTACTGAGGACAATGTAAAAGTATGGCCTGGGAGGAATAGGAGGAGGAGGAGGAGGAGGAGGAGCAGGAAGAGACTTTCCAGTATCTGTTACAGAGGAAATAATGTTGGTGGCTGGTGCCTGAGTGAGCTCAGCGCTCAAACTGGTGCTGGCTGCTGGGTCATGTGCGGTGCCAGTGGAATTTTCAGACGTGGCTGAGCAAGTGCTGTTAGATAAACAAGCTACATATAGTTTGGTGACCTTTTTATCCGCCTTCGTCTCATGACTGGAATTCATTTCAGGCTTACTACTGGGATCTGCGCCGTCAGGGTTGCGTTGTATGGATGATGCATCTGACAAGGAGCAACTTTCCAAGAGTGGCTGCCCAGCATGCACCTCATCTTTGGGGCCTGAAGAGGGAGAATGCCCTGCTGGCAAGCCTTGCTTCCCACTGGGGATGGCCCCATAGGGGGTAGGTGATGAGAAATAACGCCATGCACTGGCATTTGGTGATGCACGCTGCATATAAGGCTTGGGTGCATTCAGGTACACGCAGTCCATGATGGGCACTGGCAACAGGTTGGGCACTTTAGTGCCAGTGGGAGGACGCCATGCAAAGCTTTCCTCTTTGGGAAGAGGAGGACGGGGAGGAGCAAGGGCCTGCCCATGCAGAGTCAAGAAGGAAAAGGAGAGAGGAAGCAGCACCAAATGAAAGGAAAAAGGAAGGAAAAAATGAATAAATTCAAAGAACGAATTCAGTCATTAGACTTGGGTTAAGCAGGTTTTAATACAGCAAGAACAAAAAGCAAATACAGTATCTGGAAGGTCAGTGCAGAAGTCACTCACATACATCATCTCATACATTCTTTCTTAGCACTGCTCACGGCAGCATGCAAACTTTACCCAGCTCTCAAGTCCCTGCCTACACATCCCTTTCTCTGGACTAAATAAATCTCAGTACTGTATTGTTTCGAGAAGCCTGCACAGCAACACCCACCATGCCCCTGGGAAAGCCTGAGTCAAGATTTAACATCCTAGCTAACTAAACCCAGGCTCATGCCTGTGTAACTAAATACTTCCCAGCACTGGGGACATTTGAATCTCAAAGTCAAATTCAGAGCTCTAGGCCATCTCTGCACATTAAGTGCACTGCTGAAAAATGAATGTTGTGAAGTTTCACCAGTGCTAATGAAAGCAGACATCATGTGAATACTACAGCCTGCCACAGCTGGCTAAGTAAAAAGTCAGCATTTCCTCCTTCTAAAAGCTAGCTCTTGAATTCTCTTCAGGATTTTTCCGTCCTAAAAATGCTTTCAGGAAGATGAGAACAATTAAAGTTTCTTGAGGAACTGAGTTCGTAAGAATTTGTCTCCAGAATCAAGATCACCAACAGAGAAATCCTGCTTCTAGTAAATAATAAAAAAATGCCTTCCTGTTTTTGGTACTTTGCAACATATAGGTTGCTAACTGCACAACTGCCTGCTGACTGCAACTCCAATTACAGTGAATTTATTCTGAAAGCCAAACTGTTTTGAAATAAAATAACTTAGCAATAGAGAGGCTTCGTTTTATTTACTACTTTGTTACCAGTAGTTGAAAACTATAAACCACTGAAAGGGAGAGAATTAAAACACCCACCTAGTGAACAGTAGCTCCCTGCATTCTTGCAAATTGACCCTCTGGAGAGTACGAAAGGAGGTTTTACACACACCCTGTTATCATACCCTTATGGGCAAAGGCTGACTAAACCAGTGCTAAAATGGTCAAAACCAGAGTATGAAGATGCCTTAACAGCTTGCAACATTCAAATCTGAAAAAATACCTTCTTTAAAATTCATCCACATGTGACAGGTTGTGGCCAGCATCCATTCTTGTTACATGGATGTAGACCTAGAATAGCTTCATAAAATTACAGCTGCTGTCCTGAAATCTACTGTCCTCATGCTACCCCTCTTTCCACCCCTTCCCTGATGTGTAAGGTTGTGGAGAAGCGGGTTGGTAAGTGGCTCCTTCTGAAGGGCTTGTGCTTCTGGAACAGGCTCATTCCTTTTGATTCCTTAAGGACAGTAGTTTCAGTCTGGAGACTTCAGAGAGCCACAATATTTCACTAGGTTAGATGAAGCCTCACTTTGCCACTATGTAGTATTATCAGGAAATACTAATTCACCACCTGCAATTGCTGTTTCCATTTTCTTCCATTTCAGCTTAGTTGGACAGGAGTCCTTACTGAATTCTATAAGAAGTGCTATGTGCATTAGCGCTCTCTCTGTTCCTCAACAAGATCAATAACGGACTACAGGACAGCTGTAAGTATCAGGCAGTAAATGGGTCTCTCCTTTAGGGTGCTGCTCCTTCCTGTGCCTTCGAGTTGTGCTTTCTTCCGCTTTCACTTACAATTTCAGGAACAGTGTCTGTTCTGTGGCATTGCTATAGGTCCCTGATGATGGGAGCAGTCACCCTGATAGCAGACAAGGCTTTAAAGGGACACTGTCTCACAGAAGAAAGTGGTTTCTAATGAAGGGTTTCCTTATCAGCTTTCAGACTGCTTCTATGCAGACCAACCACCCAAAAGAAAAAGGATGAAGTTACACATCTCTTAACAATTGACTTCCAACACTTTACCTTCTGGTACAAATAACCTTTCCCTTGTTGGCTTGTATCAGTTAAAGTGTTAAAACTGAAAGGCATTTCCCCAATATCTTGTTCTTAATGTTGGGTGTAACTCTGCTTTCAGCCTGCAGTAACCTCTAAGAAACAGACCAACATAAAAGACAAAACAGTAGTAGATGACTATGTCACCTTTTTTCTTGCAAACGAATAGCATTGTCCTCCTCCTTCATCCACCAAGGAAACACTGTGGCATGCCTGAACACACGAGCTCCACAGCACTCTGCTGACATCAGTGTTGCCCCCATTTTAAAGGTAGGAAAAGCTGAGGCACAGCAACTTACCCAAGTCTGCGGCAAAGTCTGGAGTTCAACCCAGGACTCCTGACCACGAACCCAGTGCTTGAACCCAGAAGATCACCCTCAGGGTCACAGAAGAAAGGCTTACCTGTGGCTTGCTGTCTGAGGAAAGGTTCGGACGCACACTCCTATAACCCTTGGCAGCCAGAGAAGATGGTTGGGCATCCCCATTGGCATCACTGTTAGCTGACGACCTCCAATCATCTACAAGGGGAAGGAAAACTCATATCACAGAGGATTCCCTCCAGCTACAGGACAGGCAAAAGGAAAGGACTTTTTCTTCCTTTTTTTTTTTCTTTCTTTCTTTCTTTTTTCTCCAGGCAACAAGAAATAACTTCCAAGAAAGCAACAGAAGCAACAACATAAGCAGCCAATGTTTGTACCTGTTTCTGGGTTTTCTGGCTCCAGACCTAAGCATTTCACAGAAAGGAGGAAGAGAAGAGGTGGAGGATAGGCAGAGAGGAAAAGAAAGGGGAAAAAATAAACTGTTACATTTACAGAAAACATGTACCAACTGAAGTTGAGTTGAGCTACTTCATTTCACACATAAAACGTTTTCTGACAGGGCTGCGTAATTACCATAGAGACCAGCCCTAAACATGATGCCCTCCTTGTTTCTGACCTTTGTAAACACAAGGCAATTCATTCAGAGTACTGAAGAAACAATTGTTCATTGACATTCTTATTTCAGAGGCAAAAAGGCAGCCCAGCTAGCTACTTTCTAAAGCTGCAGCTTGATGTCCAGACACCACAAATCACTGGAAACGTATGGACCCCATATTCAGCCATGATGCAGGCTATGAAGACATGTCTATCCTTATCAACATCACTATGTATGATTAACTGAGATAAAGGACTGCCAACAAACAGATCAGGTTTTGCAGAGCAAGCGCGTGTGCACGAAGGGAATTATAAAATATGATGTTACTTTACAACCTAGTCCCTGCAGCTAGGTGCATTGGTCTCATCACCTATTTACCCACCTCCCACTGGGCTCCTCCCCACCCCTCTACCCGTTTTGCTGTTTAAGTTACATGCAAAAAGCTCTTCCGGCTCCAAAGTACATTTCATAAAGCAATTGAGAGAGTAACCAAAGGCAGTATTAATGAGCTGATTTCCATAGTAATGGGCTCATTGCCATTCAAGCCACTGGAAATTTATGAAGCCATCAACAGAAGGGAGAGAGGCAATGGTGGGGGGTAGGAGTGAAGAAACAGAGAATGGCAGGCATGAAAAGAGGGTAGGTCACAGGTGGAGCAGAATGGGAGGAGAAGACAGAGCAGAAAGCAGCACATTGGGGCTGGAATTAATGGAATTGCCCTTTGTCCAACAATACAGTCAGAAACGATGTATGCTTTGCTTTCAAGAGCAAGTGTGACCCCCCCTTCCCCCTTAACGGCATCTTGCCTTTGGGAGTTCATCCTCTCTGCCAGACCCACAACTCTAGCCAAGTTTGTTGTGCTTTGCCTGTCTCCTACAATTAAGTAATTACATGTCTGCTATTGAAAGATGGTAGAGCTCTGTGGCAACACTGTCTGGGACACTATCCCTGCTCCCTCAGCAACACAAGTGAATGCTACGGTGGCAGTAGCACTGCTCAGTCTCTTTCTGTTCCACCTCACGCCTGCAATAAAAGGAGTTGACAGGGGCCGGCCAGGGAAAAAAAAAAAAAAAAATTAAAAAAAAAATAAAATTGAGAGGCTTTGGTGCTCCTGACAGCAAAAGGGAGCTGTAAACAAACTTAAGCCAATGAGTGGTCATGAAACCTGCACTAGGAGAGAACAGGAGTCAGTCTCCTTCCACTGATCTGGTTCTTGCAAGAGGTTTCCAACTATGCTACGGGATTTAGGGCTTTAAATTGTAGCTAAAAAAAGTCATCCCAAGACCCTGGACTGACTTCTCTTGACGTTATTGTGAGTAACATATTCCAGTTAACATTCCACCCACTTACTTTCAGGTTGCTCACCATCCTGAGGACATGACAAAGTGATATTCTGATTCTCTTCATAGGCTGGAGATGCCCAGAGGGTCACAGCTCCTTTTCCGCTGCAGACTTTAGTGGGATCCATTTCTAGAGGAAATGCACATGCACAGAGGAGACACATGGAAACAGATGATACAAAGCTACTAGGAGCCATCAGAGCTCTATGGAGTGATTTTAGCATGGCTGCCTCCAGGTGAATCAATCTAGTAATGTTTATGCAGATGAAGATTAGCTCTGGATTTAAAGCATTGAGAAATCAAAGCAGTTTCATATTCAGGTGACTGATGAATGTAGAAGTAAGTTCTGAGTCAGTGTAACAGATCTAAGAAAGGAGGAAAAAAGGATGAGTGTTTGAACCAAATTTCACAGGTCCTTGTGCTTTATGTGGAGATATTGTACTAGCAAGGACATTCTACCATTACACCTTCTGTGGCTCTTCTATAGGGATGTCCCAGTGGTATAAAGCAACACAATTTGTGTGCTGAAGCTTTAAAAATGCCTTCTGTGCAGGACTGAAAGAAAAAAAAAAGTCTTCTGATTACTGGAGGATAAAATCTTGTAACTATGCTGAATATGATCTACAGGCAGGGCACTGCAAGCCACCTTCTTGCCATCTCCCCCCATTTTGTGGCAGTGTTTCACCTTTCCCAAAAACTAAACGGAGATTTAACATATACCTGTTCAGATCACCCTGTGAGCCAGACACTAGATCATGCCAGCGTTGCTGCTGAGGCCCCATTCAGCACAGCTTCTGTGCAGGCTTACTTTTGTGCATTTCAGTCCATGGATTTGGGTTTTTTTCCTCCTGTCACCCTATTAAGTAATAACAAACCAGTACTTCAAGGCTATCTTTCTACCCTTAAAATACTTCCGGAGAGTTGTTTCCTCTAAGGTACCTATAGAAACAATAAGCCTAAAGAGTCTCTTGCTTATCTAAGCTACTTCCACAGGAAAACACATCACCTCCCTTTCTCATGCACTATTACTGACCCTGCAGCTGCCATCAGACTTCAGTTTGACCTACCTAATCAGAGGTGTTAGTCCTACCATGACACTGCACAGGGAGCCTGAAGAGGTACTGAGCACCTGGTGTGTTACACAAATGACAACACTGTGATTTTTGTTTTTATGGGGTGAGGATCATGCTATCTCTGAACAGAGAAGGATGCAGCTCCTCTCTAGGAACTGTTATTATAATGCAAGTTATGCCTTCAGACTGGACAGAGGGGGCAAAGGCTGCTGCTTATTGCCCAGACAACCCATGTTTGTGCAGATCAATATTCCCTGGCTGACTTCAGTAAGGTAATGCCCCATTAAATCCACACGAGTACAGTGCCTACAGACCACGACACTGCCTCAGCTAGGGTTGCAAAACACACAAACCACAGCCAGGGTGGCCGCGATATAGGGAAACATCAAAAGTACTAGATGGACAACAGCAGTAAGGGGAAAGATTCAATGAATGTCAAACACCTGGCTCACATTGAAAGACCTCTGTGCTGGCATCACCACAGTTCAAGCTTTTATGTGGGCTTCCAATGCTTTAGGGATGTCACAAAAAGCATAGCTTCAGATCCACATTTAGGACTGGAGAAAGGATGGAATAAGTAAGGAATCGGAGGATACTTTCCTACAGTCCAGCCTTTAGTTAGTTTAGGCAGCACTGAGGCAGCCTTTGTGAGAGGAAAGACTATCCACACAGACATATCAAATACTGCTCTAATCCTTAAATATACCACATTTGCACTCACACCACACAACTGATCATGCCTTAAGGTCACCCACATGCCTGGTGAAATAGAAGGTGATTTTTCTGCTTGATTTTTGCATGATACAGACAGGGTCAGGATTCCTTTTGCCGAGGAGTCCAGTTCTGGCTATCATTCCCATCCACACAGCACAACACGCAGCCTGAGGACTCTATGGACCCACTTTCAAACCAGAGGACAAAGGTTTAAGCTCTGGGACTCCAGTTTCAAGACTGCTGTAATTCTGAGGCATGGACACACTGTTGGGAGTTACCAGGCTCGATTTAGACATCTGCAAAGAGTGCAGGGCAGCTCTTCTCCTATGCTCCTCCACCTAGATTCCCTTCACAGGCACTGGAGAGAAATGGAAACAGAGTTCAACATGCCATAAATGTCTCCATCATATTGGAGGAGAATCAAATTTGGGAATCAAAGCACTTTTTTATTTTCATACAACATATTAAACCTGTATACTGAATCAAAAGAATAAGAATCAGAAAAAAAAAGTTCTGAACTCAAAAAAATTAAAGTGTTTTGAAAAGGTGTGAAAATAAAATATTGTCAGACTATTTCAGTGTGGGAGAGGAAGACAAGTACCTGAAATGTTGAATTCCCTCACAATTTAGGTGAAATGACAGAAAACAAAAATCTGAATCTCTCAGTACAGAAATCCAGCAGATGGTAATAAACATGACATTAGCACTGCACTAGTCTAACAGAACACATGTGACAGATTAGGAGAGAGAAGAAGTATCAACTAGTCTGACTGTCCAAATCCAGCAAAGTACAAAAATAATCTTGTACTTTTAGTGGGAAAACATGTGCTTGGGTAGGCAGTGACAGACAGCCTAACATCCTTATTTATCCATATAAAGATTCTGTAACGTCAGTGCATGTACAGAAAAACAAACCCATCCCACCAATGCTGAACTATGCTTGAACCTGTAAAATACCATCTCTGACATCCATTTACTTTCATAAATACTAAAGATACATGGGAAACATTCTTTGGTTCATCAGGAGTTTGGTTCAAAATGAGGCTGTAATAACAATATTATTCATAATCAGGCATTAGTAGGAGAGCTTACAATGATCCCAGACTCAAGTAGACACAATTATGTCTGCAGAGGAGCACCATAATTGAGAACAGTGTATTGTGCCATCAAGAGCTAACTTTATTGTGAACTGATGAAATCTACAGCTCTGGAAACAGTGAGAAGAGGATGAAGCTGAAAACTAGCCAAAGTGCATGGGTGAAGCGGGGAAAGGCAGGGCTAGGGGAGAGAGAGAATGATGGCCAACTAATGCATGGCAGGGGAAGGAAGGAAGAAGATACCTGTAGGCAGCACTAGGTGAGGAGAACTTTTCACTTTCTTCACAGGGATTATTTTAACGGCAGAAATAGAGCGTGTACATAAAGGGACGTCAACAGCTGCAAACACAAAAGTGTAAATGGCACATCCAAAAAGGGAAGAACAGAGTTTGGGAAGCATGCCACAAAATTTTCTAATGTACTTGGAGACACAATAGCAGGAAATTTCAAATACAGAAGCAGTCCGGAGAGCAGCGATGCAACCGTTAAAAATATCCCTTCATTCGCCCTAACTCAGGACATGTCTGATTTATGCAGCATACAGAACTGCTTACTGAATTGACTAACTGCTGACTGCCACTATGCTGCAGGCAAAAAAGAATCTGGAAGCATTAGTTTTTAGAAGCCATCAAAAAATTTTAGTGTAATCATTTAGCTGAGATAGACCACATGCAAAATTAAAATGTTAAGTTAACATTAATATGGCTCCATTAAAACAAAATAAAGTGGAAAAAAAGGGACTGAAAGGTTGAGAGAGGAACATTAAACCAGCCACATTACATGAATTCTGTATTTTATGGGACATATTTTACAAGTTCAGCAACAGAAGGAAATGAAACATGAAATAATCTTGAAAATCGTCTCATGCCAAAGGGTAGCGTCAAAATACCCATTTCATAAAAAAATCCATCCATTTAAACAGTAAATTGAAGAGATTTCTACTGGACTCCATCAGCTAGCACACTAATTATACTAGATGTAGTAACATAGGGGAAAACCGTATGTAGCACTGTGCAAAATTCTAGCAATTGTACAAAACTGTCCAAACCAGCTGGTACTTCCTCTGTCTGACTCTGTATTGCAGCTAATGTGAAACTTTTTTTTTTTTTTTTTAAAAAAAAGGGGGGGGGGGGGGGGGGGGAAAAAAGGCAAAGGCAAAACTACTCAGAGGTGAATCTCAACCGTATCTGCCAAGATAAACATCTTGTAAATCATGGCTCCACCAGAATACCTTGAGTTGTCCTCTTGATTTCTGCAGAGCCAGGATTTTCTCCTTTAAAACCTATTAGCTTTCTGCACGTATTAACTGGAAAATACTAGGTGCCTCCTCACATTCCACGCCATCTCTCTCAGGCCTGCAAAATCAGGAATAAGAGGAACCATATTTCTAATACTTTACACACCAATACTGAACACTGGGCCAGCTTGAGGGAAGCACTGACATCGGGGTGGTGTGTACACCCCCCCTTGTGGCAGATCTTTCTGGTCCCTGGCAAAACTGGAAAGCACAGATTTCACCAACCTAGAAAAAGGCTCTCAAGCAAAAGGATGGTGGAAGAGCTTGATAGAATTTTTTCAAAGCTCATAAAATCATTAGTTTTTAATTTGATGTGATTGTTTTAAGTTTGTGTGGGGGTTTTTTTTATATATATATAAAAGAGGAACCCAAATCAAACCCTGTTCTCCATGCTTCTCCCTGAGCACTGGAGACCCTGTGAATACAATAGATCCCAAATCCAAATAGCCTGAGGCTTAGGAAAGAACCCTAATTCTGTTCTGCTCTGTAACTGACTCAATTCATCCATCTATAATGCAGTCAAAATACTAACCACTATAAAAAGGCATCAAAGGAAAAGAAAGGAAATTAAACCAGCAGAAAACCAACTCATACAACCACATACTTTCACCCTGCCAAAACACACACCGTCACTATACAAAACTGAATTCTATAAAGCACACTGCAAATGTGCTGATGTTAACACAGGGACTGGTTTGTTTAGAGAAGTTTGGGTTTTAAATCGTTGTTGCTAATGACAGATTTTTTTTTTTTTATTACTTCAATGGTTAGTTCCTGTCCTTTAATCCTGAGCTCAAACCTTCACCTCCCACTGAAGTTAACAGCATTCAGACATGGGCACCCACAAACCCATGCTGTCTAAACACAATAAGATATTGATTCACAGGTGCTTACAAGTAGTGCACAGCTTTCCTCAAAACAGCACTAAAAATATACAAAGAGGCAAATCCAGCCTGCCACCTTTAAGAGACAAAGAACACTTGTTGAGCTAAGAAATGCTGCTGCTGCTGGCATGGTGCAGCACAAGGCTTTTCTTGTATCAGTTGCCAAGCAAACTAAATTTGGAAATGCCTGCTGTAGTGAATGTCTGGGGAAATCAACCACATCACGCAGCTGACATGCAGGGGGAGCTGAAGAGATGTTTAACCCACCTTTTTCTTGTCCATTGCTGCTCAGCCCGTTGACAACAGTTTTTGTAGCATCGATTTTTTCGTGTTCTGTTAGATAAGTGAAGCAGCGGATTACTTCTGGGTTAAAACCTCTGCAACTGAATTTAACCTCTGACTATGAGGGGATGCCATGGGTCAGCACTATTTGATTCATGAGCTAGGAAGTATTCCTACTACCTCAGGAGATGTTACTTGGAGACACAAATTTCCCTTGGGTGACACCCCTGTTTCTCCCTTCCCTTTGCCTACCTAGATCACAGCATTTTTTAAACAGGCACTGTCTCTGTATATGCATATGGTATCCAGCTCAGTGATGAGATTTTCAAGAGAGATTTTTCAAGTCTGTAATGTCCTCAGCTAACATGAATAAAACTGGAATTCAGAGAAGCACAGAAGATAGTGCTAGAAAGGACCTCCAAGGGGCATCTAAAGCCATATTCCTTCCTGACCTATGGCAGAAACAAATCTGCCTCTGTCACTGCTGACAAGTGTTTGCCTAACGAGTTCTTAAAAACTTCCAGCAACACTCTAAAGCAACCTGTTCCAGTGCTTCACAACCTGGAAGCTTGTCAATGCTTAAGCCAAATTCCCAGCTCATGTTTTTCAGACCCTGATTAGTCTCCTAGCCTTCCTTTGGACTCTCTCCAAATGGTTCACATTTTTCTCAAAATGTGGTGCTAAAAACTGGACATGATAGTCTAGCTGATACTTGATAAAGTGCTAAAATCAAGTTGGAATATTATTCCACAGGTCCTACATATGGCACTTAGGTATGGCATCTGCTTTGTTTTTCACTCTGATTTAGCCGGCTACCCAGCCAAGCCGAGAAGCTTTCCTCTTCCCAACCAGACCACATTTCCTGGTCCCTCATTTTTCTTTGTGCAGCTGATTTTTTTCCTAACCAGATGTCAAATTTGCATTCACCCCTATTAAAACATACAAAATTCTTTTAGATAATTTTTTCAGGTAATCAATAATTTTGAATTCTTGTATTCCAAAGTGAAAGAAGCTAAACTGACCTACACCAGTTTAAGATGTTTCTATTCGTTTTTTGAGCATTATGGGCCAAGTTGAAAGAACAAACATGAAGCCAGGACACTTTTTCCTAAGAAGCCGTGCCGCTGTGTCTCAATAGTCAGATACCTTGAGCTTTCAAGGGCTTTGACTCTTTCTGGGAGGCAGAAGAGGAGTCAAAAAAAAGAAAGAGTAATTGCATCAGAAACAGACAGGAATATTTCTACTAATAAAAAGGAATGCCAACAACGGCAAGTGAAAATCAACACAGACTTACCAGAGCTCATTGTGGTGGAGGGACTTGCCTTTTTCACTTCTGGATTTTGTTTATGTCTGTTTAAAGTGAAAGGCAGAATGGTTACGTTACATTTCATGTTTGCCCAGACAGCACTGGACATGATGCTGAACATTCATTACACAAGTCAAGGTAATAGTCACAGTTTCTTCAAAAAATTTAGTTTCAAAACCCAAATGGATTTATGTCAACCACCAGTTACGTTTTTTGCTGATAATTATCAGAAATCAAAGAGCATTTCCACCCAATATAGGTACTACTTTCAGACTTCAAGACTAATCCTCAACATTAAATTGCAAGATACTGATTAAAGCCTAAGAGTCTATATATGGCAAAGTGCAAATCTGGCTAGCTTCTAATATATAAAACGTGCATCACCATTAAGAAAAAATAAAGATATCTCAGGGAGACTAAAAGCTTTAAGCTAAGACTCTCAACTTAGACCATTGCCAGATTTCAAGGTGATCTGTTGCTCAGATCAAAGCCAGTCTGGTCTCTCCTTTGAAAGATGTTACAATACAGAAGATATATACTTGTCGAAACGCACATTAACTTCTGCACCAATCATTTGCTGCAGTGCCACTGGTATTTTCAGGATCAGACTCCAGTAAATGAAACTTTACAATTAGTGGCTTTAATCCTCCTGGGACCAAAGGCAGTGAAATTACCAACCCAAGAGAAAAACTACCAGATGGGGACCAGAGCAGAAAAAAGTCAATTTTCATGGTCATGACAGTCTAGGGAGGACAACTGTGGGGCCTCTTCGTACCCAGTGCCCAATCCTGTAGGGGCTTGGTATCTGCAGCAAACAAACAGGTTTCAATGTCACACCACAGATGTTTGTTTGAACAGTCAAAGAGCCACATTGCTATGTAACAAGTCCATGTTTGCCAAGATCTCTCAACTCTCTAAAGGTCCTAGCTTGAATTACAAACCCTTTAATTTTGTGTTCCAATCTTACCACCACCACCAAAAGTTAGTGCCAAAGAGACCAAGATCAAGTGTAACTCCAGCCAATTAATGGCTTCCATGACATGAATAGTAGTAGGTATCTGAAGCTGTGAAATCATGCATAAACAAAGACCCTAATCTGTGAAGTATAGGGAAAAATTGCTCAGAGAAACAAGAAACTAAACAAGAGAGTTGGAGATACTTGTTTTCCTGTTACATGAACTGGAGGCAGCAGTGGGACATTGTAAGAGGTGGAAATTGCCTTCAGGGAATTGAATTTGCGCTCTTGCCTCAGGTGTCCCCATTCTTAACTAGCATTTGTTTCGTACCAGCCAGGATATAATAAGCATGTTCAACAGATACTCAAAAGGAAAGAAAAGAAAATTCAACAAGCAAATATACTAACAGATCTGTCTGTAAAACCAGCCAATATCTGGGCTCTCCAGCATGCCACCCTAGCAACAGCTGCCAACACTTAAGTATTTAAATATTTTCTTCATTAAAATATGCACATAAGATATACACCATGGGTTGGTGAAGGCTCAGCAGGATGCAGCCTAACTCCAAACTGATCCCAGTAAAATACAGTGTGAAGTGGAGGGTGCAGTCTAAAACTAGTCAACAACAAAAGCTGAGCCCAACTTAAAGGTCTGCTGCCTGACTGTGCCTGCCTGTACAGTATCTGCTTTTTGTTTCTGCCATTTCATATTAACAGAAAGTACCCTGAAATAGTAACAGTTGACACAGCCTGAAAATTTAGACAAATGTACTTAATAATAATAATAATGGTCTTTCTGATCTCCATACATCTCAGTTACAGAAAGATGCCTTAGTTCAAGCAAAGCAGAAAGAAACAGGCTAAAATAATAGGCTATCCAGGCTAAGGAGGTTTGTAGCAGTATCATGCTCTTCTACATATGGAAAACTGTTACGAGTTAAAGTCACTGGATAAATACGAGTCCTGCCATAGGGCAGGGAGAAAAAACTACAAGAAGGGGCAGTACTGCAGTAAGTACTCAGCTTTAGGATTAAAGCCATTCTGAAGCTGAGGACATTGCTGGTACCCAGAAGTTTTGACTCAGTACTGGCCCTCTCCATAGGCTTCATGCAAGTCAACAGGAAATTTCTTCCACTCCAAGCATCCCCAAAAGGTTGCATGCTTTCCTCTGGTATACGAGATAAAAAAGGCTGGGGAAGGAAAAAAAAACAAACCCAAAACAATCTAGCATATTACCTTTTCAGGAGAGGAAAGGGGAAATACTAGCTCACGTGCCTTGGCAAAGGCAGGGTCCACCGCTACTGCAATCCCAGAGCGACACAGGTCCCCTTCCACAACGGCAGCATCCAAGTAATTAAACTTGTGACCCCATGCTTTATACCTTTTAAACTGTCCCATGTCTCTTTAGAAACAGTGACATCACAACTGCCATAGAACTCCGATTTCAGTGATGGTTTTTTGATTCAAGAGTCTTGACATTGCTTAGTGTGAAGCACTGGCCTTCATTGCATTGAGAAAAACATTAAGGCAAGAATTCACACCAAAAAAAAGCACAATTATTTGGCCTTAAAAGAACAAATTTTCACATGAAGTGATTTGAGGTTAAAAATAAAGTGATAATTATAAGAAGTAAGTTTGCTAAAATTAAATGGAGGAGGTGTACAAACTCATTAGAACTACATCTAGAAAAATGACTTTTCCACATATCCCCACACTTACTAGCAATTACAGAATTCAATTAAAATAAGAAGCATTCAGCATTCACTTAATGTGAAATTAATCAACATTATTCAAGCACTGAAACGAACACATACTTAATGCAGGTTCCCATACACAGAATGGATTCAGTGTGCTCAGGAAGAGCATAACCAATCCTGAGCACCTGGGTTGGTGTAACTCCAGAAACTCCACTTAAAAGTTGATTTTGACTAGTTGAGGATCTGCACACAGATTTGCTGCATGCAGGTAGAAATAACTGCTGTTTAGATTGAGGAAATTATGGTGCACTTTTGCAGTTGAGAACATGCTTCAGTGCCTTTCTGCATTGGGGCTAGAGAGTTATTCTACCTGCCTCCCATATGCTTAACCCAAACCACACACTGAAGTCCTATTAGGCCTATCTTAGGCCTAAGACTGCTCTTGGGATCAGATACCTGGTCCAGCCAGACAGCACATCTGGCTCCACAGCCCCAGTCTAGCCAAGTGTTGCCCTCTGTAACACTTGGGAAGGTACATGCTGCAAGTCAGTGTGCCGTTGAGTGTTTGGATGGTACATCCTTAGAGCAGTCCCCGACACAATGGCCAGACGTGCTGTCTGTGGGCTGTGGGAGCAGATGGATCTGGAAACATTTGCTGCTGCCAGCTCCCCTCGAGAGCTTCCTGTAGAGATGGCCAAGCCATTCCTGTAGACACACATGCAAGCACTCACTGCAGCACTTCAGAAGGGAGCCTTTCAAAGGGAACCAAAACCAAGATCCCTCGTGTCAATATTAAAAACAGAAAAACTGGTACTGCCAGATCTGACATGACATAACATGACACTCCAGAACCCCCCTGTGTCTCCTTACAGCTCCCTGCTCTAAGCCAGCTAGCCAGTGTCTCCTTGCCAGACTGGAATTCATGCCTTTCCTGAAATGTGACAGACAATAGCAACAAAAGCTTCAAAGCTACAGACATTCAATGAAAGGTAATTAATTCCTCAGAGCATAAGCCAGCAGCGGTAACCCTGAACATGCCAATGTCCATACATAACATCCACCAACTCTTTGCCAGCTTGGTCATACCTCTAGACAGATGTTTAATGCTTCCTTCCTCCCCTTCACTCCCAGTACATTTCTTCCAAGGCTGCAGCTCCTTCCCTACTTGGTGTGGAAAAGAGAGCAGTGCATTTAGAAGCCTATTTAGGAGGAATGCAGATAAGTGGCAACTACTTCTGCACAGCATGTCTCTGGATTATCTCACATGCTCTAAACGTTTGAGTACTCCCCCTACAACGGCAGGGGGTAACAAACAGCTCATTAATAGTTCCAAGCAAGGACACACACTCACTGGTATCTCAGCTAAGAGTCGCAGGCAGTGGTTATTTTTGGTGGTCTAATGTGCTTGTGGGGAAAAGTAATTTCCTTTCGTTTCTTCTCTTGTTATTATTGACAGCTCTGATGACTCACACAGGATTTTAAAACAATTGCTAAACATGAGATGAGCATTCAAAATTTATTGGGCAGGTCCTTTATATTCCCGAGATTTGGAGTCCTGCTTTACCTTCTCAGGTCTGAATTTTTTACATTTTCAAAGTTGTCTTTCCATATACAAGAGCTTTAGGTGTTTTGTGACTGGACTTAAATGAAAAATCAAATTCTTATTTGTATTAGTCTAATCTAGGAGTTGAGGCTTTTAAAAAATGGTATGCTTTCAGATTTCAGGGATGATCAGCAATCACAAAACTTATTTTCACTTGGTCAGGTCTCACACATCACAGACAGCACTCATTTGTTTAGTCCCTGGCTCAGACCCTTTCTCACATTGCCACCAACGTTCCTGACCCAGATGCTCTGCTCAACCAGTCATGCCATGCCAGCAATGTGGAGTCCCAAATCTGGGAAGTGGGCAAAGACTGTAGCCTATGCCTCCTGCCAGGTGGTTCCTCTGCTCAAAGGAACTTGATGCAAAGAACATCTCCTCCGTACTTCTCACTTTGTATTACAAAGTGTGGCAAGAAAAAATAAGTAGAACTGTATGATGGCAGCTCCAGGTTAACCCAGGCAATCAGCTCTTTCTCCAAGTATCATTATTCTCTTATCCTGAAATACTGAGAAAAATATGTTGCCCGTCATTTTTATTTTAAGGGTTAAAGAACATCCTGTTATTCCTTCAGAAAACATTATGCTCCTAAGAATAAATGTCATGAAAAGACTATGAATAACCAAGCAGTGCACACAGAAGAATCATACCAATTCTGCACAAGACAACAGCCTCCCCATGCTCTTCAGCGAGTGTTAAGACAGCAGAGAGGGAGCAGTGAAAGCTCACTAAATGAAACAAATGGCAGCATAGAACACAAGCTTGGATAAGGTGTTCTTATAAATACCT